GGATGTCAGGAGGACTTTTCCATCATGCGTTCAAAAGTCCAAAGTCCTGCCCAAAGAACACAGAATAAGTATTGCTTTAAATTGCATTTGTGGGGGAGAAGTCCCATGATTTTTGAGCTCTGGAGATGAGCAATGCTGAGCCCAGCTATCCTTGTTATCCCCCTTTGCCTCATTCTCCAAGGTTTTGTACTACGTGTAGATTTAAGATATGTCTACACATAAAACACTACAATGCCATAGCTGCACTGCAGTAGTGCTTCAGTGTAGACACTGTTGTGCTAGGAGGAGTTCTCCCATTGCTCTAGTTAATCTGCCTCCTTGCAAGGGGATGATAACTAGGTCAACAGAAGAATTCTTTCCTGACCTAGCGCTGTCTACACCGGGGTTAGGTCAGCTGAGCTACATCTCTCAGGGTTTGGACGTTTCACACCACTGTGAGACATAGCTATGCAAAAGTAAGTTTTCAGTCTAGACCAGCCCCTTCTTTCTAAGTGTCTCTGATGGAGCTGAGCTTTACGAAAATGCTGGCTGGGATGAAATATAAACATTTTTACCTGCTTTTTTCATCACAGTTTTGAATTTTTCTCAACCAGCTCTGATTTCATCTGACTACTCTTGTCTCTTACTTCTGTCAGTGTTCACTTTTGTCTTGTACAAAGTTGAGTGCTTTGTTAGAATTAAGTGGCAATAAATAATAGTTGGGGAGGGACTCCTCACTCTTTTTTTTCCTTTTTTTTTTCTGTTAGGAAGGAGGGTTTATAACTTATAATCGCTTATTAATCTTTTGCATGCCTCTATTTTTGTGCAGTCTAGATCTTGCTTGTAAGCTTCGTCTTTCATATGAGCTGCTGACTAGTAGATTTCTGACACACTTGAAGCCCCGCCCCTCTCTAGCTTCTGGAAGGAAGAATGGATTTTTTTTTCTCACTTCTCCTTCTGCTTTTCACCCAAATTACATTTCCCCACAGAGTTTCATTGCTGCTGTGACTGGGAGGTGTGAGGAAAAGATGTCTGATACTTTATCAGTCCTACAGCCTTTGCATTTAGGGGAATTTCTCCCCTGTAAATAACTCCAGTACCTGCATGTGGTGCTTCTACTCATAGTTTTTCCCTGCCAGATGCAGCAGCAATTTGAAACTGACGTGATTTTTTGACACACTCACTGCTGCCCACATGTTTCTGAATAACAGCAAAGAATCACAGCTTATATTTACCATAAATATAAAGTGTTCTGATCTGCGGCTGTTTGGCAAAAGCTCTGACCTGCAGCAGAGGATTTGCAGGGGTTTTTATGCAGACTCAGGAACAGCAGTGCATAAGTTTACACTCTTCGCATTTGTAAGGTTTTTAAATGAAAGCTTAAATTGTACAGAAAATGATGGGTTAGGCCCCTATGAGTACTGGGGAAAGCTCCCAGTTTACCAGCGGAGAGTAGCCAGGTGGGTTTTCAAGCCCTGCTTATTATTTACATAGCACCAACAGCAGTCTAGGTGCTATACAGACAAGTCTGAAGAGTACTAGCTCCTTAAAATTTGCGGTCCTCTTATTTGCCAGACATGTGATCAAAAGTGTGTTTAGTTCTGTCAATCTAGGCAGCAAAACTGAAACCACCATTCCTGGGTAGCAATGCAGATAGGGTTGCCAGGTGTACAGTTTTTGACCAGAACACCAGCTCGCAAAGGGACCCTGGCAGATCCAGTCAGCATCACTGACCGGGCCGTTAAAACTCTGGTTGGCGGTGCAGCGGGGCTAAGGCAGGCTCTCTACCTGGCGTGGCTTCGTGCGGCTCCCGGAAGCAGTGGCATGTTCCCCCTCCGGCTCCTAGGTGGAGGTGCGGCCAGGCGACTCTGCAGACTGTCCCATCTGCAGGCATCGCCGGCGCAGTTCCCATTGTCTAGGAGTGGCTAATGGGAGTTGCAGGGACGGTACCTAGGAGCCGGAGGGGGGACATGCCGCTGCTTCCAGGAGCTGCTTGAGGTAAGCACTGCCCAGAGCCTGCAACCCTGACCCCCTCCTGGGCCCCAACCCCCTGATCCGGCCCTCCAAACCCCTCAGTCCCAGCCTGGAGCCTCCTCCTGTACCCCAGAGCCCACACCCCCAGCCAGAGCCCTCACACCCCTCCTGCATCCCTGCCCTGGCCCTGAGCCCCCTCCCACCCTCCAAACCCCTCGGTCCCAGCCCGGAGCACCCTCCTACACCCCAACCCTCTCAGCCCCACCCCAGAGTCTGCACCCCCAGCCAGAGCCCTCACACCTCTCCTGCATCTGAGCCCCTCATGTCCTCCAAACCCCTTGGTCCCAGCCCAGAGCACCCTCCTGCACCCCAAACCGCTCATCCCTGGCCCCACCCCAGAGCTCCCCCCACCGGAGCCCTTACTCCCCCCCCCATCTCAACCCACTGCCTCAGCCCGGAGCCCCCTCCCGCACCCTGAACTCCTCATATCTGGCCCCACCCTAGCGCCCGCACTTCTAGCCAGAGCCTGAATGCTCTTCCGCACCCCAAGTCCCTGACCCAGCCCCGTGAAAATGAGTGAGTGTGTGAGGGTGTGAAGAGCAAGCGACAGAGGGAGGGGGGGTCTCAGAGGAGGGGCGGGGCAAGGTTGTTCAGTTTTGTGTGAGTAGAAAGTCGGCAGCCCTAAATGCAGAATGTAACCAGTTATGATTATATACAACATGTGTACTTTTGATAAATTCATATTTGTGTGTGTATGCTGTAGTTAAATAAAAGCCTTCCTGGCCTTTAGTACAGTGCATTTTAAATTGTGTAAGCTAGATACAATTGAAATACTGTGTTTACGGTAAGTTGGATGTGATCCTCTAGGAGTAGGTCTCTAAGTACCAGAAGCCCTTCGGGAAGGGGTTTTTCAAAAGTGTTTAGTGATGCCATAACTTGAATGGAAACGTATGGTAATACATCCGCTGAAGTCAAATTTGTTAAGCCAAAGCTTAGAACTTTCTAGACTCACACCCTAAAGTTTTACCATGTGGCTAAAACACCACAAAAAAAGAATAGGAAGTAAATGTTCCTCCAGAGGTGTGTGGTGGTTTCAGTTAGTTTTACTAAGATTTCTGTGAAATTACACAATTCTGGAATAAAATACTTTGGTTTGTGTTTGCCTTTTTATCTTAGATTTCAAACAGAATTTCAGCAGGTATTTATACTAGCTGTAAAGACTCCTTGGGGCAGGCAGGCAGATGAGTATTCAAAATATTGGGTATTTGTTGTACAGCCACTGCATCGGGAAGCTTTGTGCCTGGAGGAGGTTCTCTTATTAATAATTCAAAGAATTTGGTACTTGAGCTATGTCAGTTCTGCCGAGCATTATATAACTGCAGGTTCTAAATGTGCCGGATTATCCTTCAACAGACATTTGCTAGCAGTCTCCAGGACAAAACTGCTTTTAAGACAAAATTTCTTCCCTGAAGCTAATGGGGATTTTTCCTGTATGCTGTAACACTCTAAAATAAATGGAGACCAGTGATTTGAAATCTGTGTGCAAAATTCACTAATGTACATTGGTGAGCAGCAGCAGAATGCTGTAAGACAAACTTTGTTTCCATCATTGAGAAATCCTGATGCTGTTTGAAAGGGTTTGATTCTTTCTTTGCAAAGAAAGGTTTCAGCCTTCAGCTAGAAAAGCTTCAGATGTAAAGATAAGGAAAAATAGTTGAAGTGAGTACTCTTTATATGATAGTTACATTTGTTTTGTATGAATCTATTTATACTGGTTAGATAAGTTTGGGTTTTTTTAGGCTTGAAAATAATCTGTTACTATCTCTCCCTCAGTCACATTGGATGTCAGTAGTGGTGAATTTGTATCTGTTTAATCAAATCAAAACTCTTGTCAGCATAGAGATCATTCTTGGTTATTAGCTGGTTATTAAAGAAAAGCAAATTTGCCTATCTTTCACTACGGGTTTATGTTTTAGTATATGTATTTAACTTTTTCATAGCATATGAATATTTTAAATGGAAAATTTATATATGTGTGTTTTAAGAATCTAGGGACACTTGATTGCAGACTTTATAGGAATGTTTTTAGCTTGGTAGCTTATTCTGTGATTTATTTATTTTTTTCAATTAAAATCAAACAGCCTCCTAACCACATACTTTAGGATGAGCATCCTTTCAGTCTACATTTGATACATATCATAGAAGCTTCATGTCTTTCTTCCTTTTGTGACATTTCATTTAATAGCTGTTTTAATGTATAAAAATATAGGCTTGTTTTACTCACTAGGACTTTACCTTACTTTTTTCTTAACCCGTTCTACATAGGTGGCAACACATGTCAACAGGCCATGCGTGGTATCATATGTGTGAATGCATGTTTCCCATAGTGCCATCTAATGTAAAGGAATGCCCTCACGCCTCCCAGCAAAGCTTTCTTAAATGTGACCTGTACACTGGGTTGAGAGATCCATCAGCTTTAGAATGCTCCAAAGAGACTATGGAAGGGATATTGAACACACGCTTGTAATACTAGTGGATTTTTATTTCTTCTATTTGTGGATTACTTATATGTTGCAATGCTGAAGAAATAAGCAGGTGAAAAAGAGGGTAGGGAACAAAACTAAGCAGAATATAAATACAATATTGGTGTCAATGAGGATTGGGAGTTGTCTAATAGTTGTAGAGCCTTGCCTGTACAGCCAAGATACCTACCATCGGTACCATGCTACAGCTTACCTGCTTTGCTTATCAAAGGTTTATGACTAAATTGTTGAGTGAACTCCTTCACAAGAGTATTATACGGCTCATTGTAAACAAGGGGATCAGTGCAATGTAATTTGCAAATTGGGTCCGGTTCGAGACTGGGTGGAAGATAAACTCAGTTGTACAAGAAAATGTTGCAGCACAACAGAGAAATGTTGAGAGAATGCTACAGCATTTTTGTCTGCGTCCCTTACCCTTTACATTGTAGCATTTATTTTGTTACTCTGAAAAGCACAGAAGATATTTTGAACAGGGAATATAAAGTTCTGTTTGCTTTCTTGCAGATGAACTGCTATGGCAGGAAGTTAAGGCGGACAGGACCTGAACAGCTGAACAGTAGAAATGACTTGGTTTCTCCACCCCAGCATTCCAGGGTGAACGGCTGGTCTTTACCACTCCACACCTTTCAGTTTGTTGCTCTGCTGTTTTACACATACCTGGCCATTGTAGGGTTTGGGATCTACATACCTTTGCTTCCCCATGGATGGAAATATGCTGCCTATGCTGTATCCTTTTTTTATTTCCTCTCCTTCCAAGACATGCTCTGCATAGGTTCTGGGTTAAATTTACATATACACTGCTTATGCTATAAATAAGGGTTAGTGCATTAGAGGAGTGGAGTACGTTTCCCCAATTGTATATTTAACCACACTTAGTGAGGGTGGTTTTGTTATAGTAGTTCTTATATAAAAAATTCACTTCCTGCAAAAGACCATATTTTAAAAAAAAAAATGTCTTTGCCAGCTAATATTGGATATGACCCCAAGCCCATTAGTCAGTGTGAGTCTATCCATTGACTTCAGTGAGCTTGGATCAGATCATTGATGTGAGCCTTGTTCTAAACTATGAGCTGCTCAGCAGTCAGGTGCGGGGCTATATATTCTCTACTGCTTTGAAGGACTCTTTGGTGTATTGATAAACACTCCCAATCATACACCTCACTTCAGCCCAGAGTTACCTACCTTCCACAGAAATTTGGTGTTCCATCACTTTTTTTATTTTTGGAAAATTATTTACATTGGAAATAAAGAACCATAAAACTATTTACGGCAAAGGAATAATGGGCTAATGTGATACTTGGGTTTATAAAGAGGGGAGTAGTGAGTACGGAGTAGGAATAGGGAGCTAATTTTACATCCATGGATGGCATTGGTGAGACAGATGCATACCTCCCAACATTCCCGGTGGCTAACGGGGACAGATCCTGCCCCAGGGAGGATGGGATGGGATGGGAGGCCCAAGGGGAAGAGTTGCAGAGCAAACCCACCCCGCACTTACTCTATAGTGGTGGCTCCTGTCCTATGGGGCTGACTGGGCTCAGCTCCAAAGTTCTGAATGAGTGTCAGGCTCGAGGAGGAAATGGGCTGGGTAAGGCCTGTGGGAGGTGGGGGTGGGAGCAAGGAGCAAATTAGAGAACAGGGAGAGGATTGCAAGACAGTAGGCGGGGAAGTGGGTTGCAACATGTGGAGTGGGGAGCCAAGCCCAGCCATGGTCAAAGCAGGATAGTCCCATGAAACCCAGGGCTGTTGGGAGGTCTTTAGATGCTAGAATAGTCTGTCTAGTTTCAGTGTCCACGTTTTAATAAGGATGCTGAAGAGGGTGCAAAAAGGAGCCAAAAAATTATTTGAGGGCTGCAGAAAACACTGTACTGTGAGAGATTTAGAGTTCAATCTGTGTAATTTCTTAGACTGAGAGGTGCCTTGATTACATAAGTACCTTCACAGGGAGAAAATAATGGACACTGAAGGACTCTTTCACCTAGCATACAAAGGCATAACAAGAACCAATGGCTGGAAGCTGAAGCCAGACAAATTCAGATTAGAAAGTGTGGCCTTTGAGATACTAAACGGTGGTCCTGGAAGGTGAACATATCAAGAAGAAAATGTGCATTCGATTGAATTGAAGATGTCCCCCTTGAGCAGCACCCTCTGGCTTTTAAACTGAAGTGTTTTTAATCAGCCTGGTCACTATGGGGAGGCGGCACAAGGGGTGCCGCCTCTCACTCCCTCCTCTGCAGCCCTAGGATCTGCACAGGTTAGAGATGGGTCAATTTCTGATAGTTTTTGGTTCACTGGCAATTCCAACCTTTTTTTAAAAAAAGTTAGTTTTGGGTTGGCCCAAAATCAAATATATATATATTCAGCAATCAAAAAGCTGAAATCTTTGTTGTGTGTCAAACTTTTAGTTGGAAGCAAAACATTTTGTTTTGATTTCAGGCATTTTTTAAACTTTAAAGGAAATCTCTAAACAAAACGTCAAAAAGCCAAAAAGTCAGTTTCATTACAGACATATCAAAACAAAACACTTTGATGGGGGTGGTGGTGGATTTTTTAGGGTACTTTATTGACCAGAATAATCCAGCAAAATGTTTTGTCACCAAATCTGCATTCTTTTTTGTTTCCACCAAAAAGAAAGGATTTTTTTGGCTGACAATTGTGGCCAGCTCTAGCACAAGTCTCAGCTTGGGAATGCTCTGAGCATCTGTTGTGTCATAGGTAAGGATGTGATTTGGTCACGGATTCTGTGACCAAATCACATCTCTGGGACTTCTTCGGCTTCAGCCCCCCATGACGGGGCTCAGGCTTGAGACCCACCATGACCATACCCTGACTCTGTACATTTTTACCATGACTGCTCTGTGAAGTTTGCCTAATTTTACCGTGACACAGTCGTATCCATCGTCAGAGGTAAGGAAGGGGAAAGGAGTTCTGGCTGCTCCCTTCCAGGGTAGTGGGAGCCCTAGCAAGAGCAGAATAAGTGCTTGGCTGACTCTGCCTGAGCCTGGGGGAAGTGCCTAGCAAAGTCCTTTCCTGGCCCAGCCACCCAAGAATGCCCAAGGGAAAGGGGAGGAAAAAAGAAGCTGAGAAACAGCAGCTAGTTACTGCACCCTGACTTTCTGTCCCAGGGCCGACTAAGACACCCTGAGATGCCAAGGTTTCACATGTTAGCAGAGTAAGCTGTGTGCTCCATCCCTTCTCCGTTCCCTCATGACCCTGGGATGCCCTCTGTGCCAGGGGCTGTAGGGAGAGAGAGGTGTAGGAGCACACTACGCTGTTTCCACACCTGCTGAGAAATCCCCAGCTGGGGACTTAAGGCTATGTGCACGCTACAGCTTAAGTCAGTATAAGTTATGTCGCTGAGGAGTGTGAGTAAGCCACCCCCTCAGTGATGTAAATTACACCGTCCTATGTGTTGGTGTGGACAGCACTATGTCGGCAGGGGAGCTTCTTCCACCGACATAGCTCCTGTCGCTCACGGGGGCCGGATGGGGGAGCTCTCTCCCGCCGGCTTGGAGCGTCCGCACTAGCAGCGTCCAAAGCAGCCGCAGCGCTCTGAGCTCTGAAGTGTAGCCACGGCCTGCGTGCTCCAAAGAGAGTGGAACAGAAAAGAAAATCTGCTCCCAAGTACCAACTGTAGCCCCCTTGACCTTTGTGAAATCTTCTGTTTGATCCTCAGGCTGGAAAGATTGCCCCCCCCCTCCCCCCACTGGTCTAATGCAAAAGAGACTCGGGGCACAACTCTGTGGTGTACTTTTCACTTGCAGTGCTCCTTGACTGAGCATTGCAGAATCAAAACGCAACTCAGGAGTAACTGCTCAGAATGGATAGCAAACTTACAAAATGCTAGCATTTTTATAGTGAGCTTTTCAGTAGCATGTAGCAGCTTCTAATCAGATTACTTTACACAGTGCTTGCTCTTCATTAAATCGCGAATCGGGGTCTTGAGTTCTATAGTATCTCCAAACAGAGACATTTGAAACTGGTTTGAAATTCCTGTGACTGAGATGGCAAGGGTGGAGATGGGGGTGGAAGTTAACAATGTTGTGAAAGGGAAAGCATCAATACACCAGTAATTTATGTACTATTTATATACTAAACACAGATTGTTGCTAGGAAGTGATATGATGTCAATACAGTATTCTTATAACAGCATGATAACTCTTACAGTAAGGGATAAAATACATGTGTAGTCAAATGTGTTTATAATGGAAAACAATGCATTAGTGGTGCCTTGTATCTCATCTACTAGTCAAAATGAGATTTACGTGGGAAACACAATATAATCTTACAACAAAGATTTTTTTGTTTTTTCCTACTTCATAGGAAATAAGAATTCCTTTTTAAAAAAAAAAAAAAAAAGCTGTTAAATTCAGTTTGCATACCATGTTCACATGTTTGAAAAGAATAAGAGCCTTGCTGAAGTCCACTCTGCCGCGGTCCTTACTGGGTCCTGCTGGTGCTGTCATAGCTGGGGGGAGGGTCCTTGGAACAAAGCAATGGAGGGCTTTTTTTGGTGGTGGTTGGTTGGTTGTTAAGGAAATTGATATTCTTGCATATTAGAGAGTGGATTTTAAGGCTTGTTTGGGGAAAAGGAAGGGCTACTGCCCTGAGGTTCAGGTGGGTGTTTCCTGAAAGATCTGAAAAATAAATGACTGTTCGGGGAGCCTGAGAATCCTTGGAATTTTTTTTCTCATTTAGAGAAAGTTCCCCTCCTCTTTTAATAAGTATGACAGAAGTGTATTTCTGCCTTCCCTTCTCTGCTTTCCTGTTACTTCAATAAATTGACAGCTTTTTTTAATCTTGATTTGACTAAAGTTGGGGGTCATTCCCTCTCTGAAAGACTTCCCAAGGTAAGGCCTTTTCATGGTAATATAGAACTAAGGAAGGAGTTGCTTGCTAAATCCCAGTGACCTGGGCAGTGGTGAGAAAGACTGTCTGGAAGTGGTTTTTCCTCCACTAAAAAAGAGTCCTTTCTCTTGTGCAGATGATCTACTGGCTGGATTTAGTTCATCTAGATCTTGTGAGAAAGGGGTTACACTAAGCACATGGACATCACATTTTCAATGTGTTGTTCTGATCAAATTATGCATTTTATTTCAGATAATAACTAAAAAATTTACAGCATATCTGTGGAACAAACTGAGAGAGATCATACAGATCTCTTTAAAGACCACAATCAAATGAAAACCAATATGCAGATTTTTATAAGACCCTCTCCAGTACAATAGTTCAAGCTAATGTTGCTATGCATCAGTTTGGAGCCTCTGCATAATAAATACAGCACTGCCAACCTTTGCCTTTTAGACTTTAAGGAGGAGTTGATCAAGATAATCCTCTTTTGGCCCTGTCAATATCATTAACAGCTTTAAATGTGAAAGTTGAACCTTTCTTAATCATAGAAAAAGCTTCTTGTTTCCAAATATATAGAAATTTTAGAGGGGTGCATAGACAGAGTGGCTTCTAGAACTTTAATTGTTTTTCAATCTAATAACTAATAAGAATCAAACTTGTGTGTTTTAGAAACAAGTTCAAAACTAAAAGAAGGCTGATTTTAAGTGTCATCATGTTGTTATGTTTCCTGATGAGGTCCAGGAAATGCAAACTAGGACAAAAGATTTCAGACTTCTAATGAAAGAACTGCCAAATATGGGTGCCAAATTTTGGGAAACAATGGAAGATAAAATTTATATTTTTAGTTTTTGACAGCGAAGTAAGAAATGTTTTAGCTTCAAACTGAATTGGTTTATTTGCATTTGTGGAAGAAAGTGGTAGGTCAGATGAGGAGTTCAAACTTATTAAAACAAACTTTTTGCCCCTCTTTATGTTCGAATAAAAAAGAATCTTATAGGGTCTAAGAATTTTGGGATAGATCTACAGCTGGTGTAAATCAGCATATCTCTTTTGATTTATGTGTACCTGCAACGACTTACCTCAGCTGAGGATCTGAGCCTTTATGTATCATTGGAAGTTTTGTTGCTATGACTGCCCTGGTAGGTCAGTTTTTTCATGGGGGTTTATCTTTCTGATGTGTCAGGCTATACTGCATAGTCTAATGTAGCTTATGGTTATCTAAATGAAAATTTTTGGATACTGTATGTACCATTCTGAGAAGAATTTTGCATGCAATGAGTGGGATAGCTGGAAAACCTATGTTATGTAACATGCAAGGAAATCTGTGTGTACATATATAATGTAGCTGTGTGAGTGTGAAGTATATATGTATGCTTTATATATATGAATACATTACTTTTTATATTAAAAATACACATTTATATAATAAAGTGCTGCAATTCCATAAAAACATGGGTTAGGAAAACTAATATTTTAGTCTTCAATAGAAGAAATCTTAAGATTGAGCACTTAATAATGTGACATTTTCTGCATATCTAAGATGTAAAAAGTGTGACTATACAAAGCATACTTCATGAATCTCAGGTACACACACGTATTTTGGCAAGCTTTTTGTGGCAATAACAACTTGTGTTAAGGCAGGTTACAGGTCATTCTCAGCAATTGTTCCTACAAGCTTCCCAGTTGCTCCCTTCTAGTGAATAAGAAACTGCATTTGGGAGTGGATCCAGAGTTCAAACTGTGCCTTACAAAGGGTGTGTGTATTGAGGGGGTGAGAGGCGTGTGGCATGCTCTGCATTGGGGTTAAAAAAAGAGTATATTGTATGTATATTTCTTGGCCCATGCACTCGGAGTTCAATCTCTCTGCTTTTTGAAGAATGCTTAGATGATACCTATCACCAGTTGGATGTAGAAGAGCTACTTCCTCCTGAACCTGGGAAACACATCATTGATAAAAATTACTATTTAAAGAACTGCTGGGTGAAAAATTGATCAAGTTATGCATACACAAAGGCTTTTCATTATCTCCTTCTTGAGGCAGGAAGACTTACAGGCCAGGGACACCTTAGAATTCTGCTGGTTGTTTGTCTGTGACTATATCATTTTCAAAATAACTTTAAAAAAGTCATGTAATATATCCTGATGTTGCCTATGAGACAGCCTCAGAGACTAAGATTTAAAACTTTGAAAGAAGATTTAACCCAAATTAGTGCTCTGTTAGAAATATTGTATCCAGGAAATTTTTTTGTTCTGTATCATACCAAAAAATGTTCTGTATTACACTGAGTTTCCTTATCTTCTGTTCTCCAAGTTGAAACTGTAGTGCAGACTTGTGAAGAGGCAAAGTCTTGTAACTTCTTTTCTAGCTCTCTGGGCTTTGTTTACTCTTGAATCAGATCTAGCACTGTGATACAGTGCTTGTTCTGTTTCTAATAGAGAAGAATTCTACTTTAAACAATGTAGGAAATTATTGCTTTGGGGCACACAATGAGACTTCCTGCTCTGGTCAAGAAAACACACCTTCCCATTGTCCTTCTCTGTCATGTCACAGTGTTCATTCTCTTCAAAAGTATTGGTAATTGCTACCATGGTAACAAAACAAAAACATGGTGTGGCAGCTGTTCTCAATGTTTCATAAATGAATTCTGCTCGTTTACTAAACTACAGCAGTTTGATGACTCTCTCTATGACTTAAGCCTAGCACAAAATAATCTATTAACTGTGTGGTGCCCAAGGGTGGGGCGTCTTTGTTTTTTTTTTTTTTTTTGGATTGTGTGGGTGGGGAGGTAATCATCACTAGAATCAGCCAGTGCAAAAAGATAATCCATTTGCCTCTTGCTGTTGTGTTAGTACTTAGTGATTGCACAATTAACTTCTGTAGCAAGAGGTTGGAATACTTGGGGAGCTGGTTATAGTTGAACTACTTTCTTATGTTGCAAAGCAGCTAGACAAAGTGGTTAGCTAGTTCAGGTGAGACTGAGTGTTCATGCTCTGTATTTGGAATTTTAGTGGTCATGCCATGTGATTTGGGGATGACAAGCTCACCAGGTGAGAGTGTAGGGAGATGTGGAAAAGACAGTATGCGGAAAGTGGGACACAGATCAATCAAGGGTTAGAAAGGGAGCTGCTTTGCAGGCGATAGTTTGACTTGGTTTTTTTGCAATTGAACTTCTTGGAACTGTTTGCTCTATGCCAGGTAAACATGACTTGTGTGAACATTTGTAAATAAATAAATGGGAATAAGAAATACCCTGAATCTTTGTCACTAACTTCATTTCTAACAAGTAACTCCAAAGCCTGGTATGACTACCTCTCAGGAAAGGGGTAACAGTAAGTTACTGACTGCCAGTTCATGTCCCATAGTCTGTGGTTTGTGGCTTCCAACCCATTCTCCTAAAGTCCCACTTAATTAACTGGCTCCAGGAGCTAAGGCTTTAAGGAAAAAAACAAATATCACAAGACTAGTGATCAAATTGAAAGTTGGTAACCTTGGAGTGTGGGTAAAATATGATTCCTATCAGGGCAATGTATTGAAATCCTCTTGGTGTTTTCTCCCAAGATTTCCTCTGTGGCTTTTTTCTTGGGAGGGGGTGAATTGAGTCTAAAAAGGTTTCAAGAGTAACTTGAATAGAACCTTGTTAGTTAGTTCCCTGTTAAGTCCAGAGGACTTCTTCATGTTGAAGTCTGAAGGAGTGCCTATTTGTAAATATTAGGCAGTAATTACAGGCATCTGTCACAACTCATAGGCAAGGAATAGAAATGGTCAGAGGCAAAATTATACTGAATTAGGGGAAAGAATCTGAAGATGTGCTTTATGCGGCTGTAGAATAGTTTCTCAAAGGACGTAATGGTGGCCCCAGTGCCATGGGACTTACAAAAATAGCCCGGACGGAACACCAAAAAAATGCGCTGCCAAGAACAATCCTGTATTGTCAGGGGGATTTGAACTCCCTTAGTAGATAAACCTGGTGGTTTCTGTTTCTAACTCTTCTGATACTGTGGCATGCCACTTATTAGTTAAAACTGTGGCGGGGGGGCAGAGGGGGGAAGGTAGTTGTCCCTTCTGTTAAGATAAAGTAAAACTGAAATGCATTTTAATAATTTGTAATATTGAAAATGCGTACCGGCAACGGGGAGGCGAGGGAGAGAAGGAACATAGGCCATGGAAGTTAGACCTACATTTCTTCCATTTTACAAGTCATAGTGCAGTTTATCCTTCCTTTGTCTTCAAAAATACAACCACTGAATAAGGGGGGCGGGGGAGTCCTTAAAATGGCACAGGAACACGTGTTGGGCAAAAGTTTTTGAAAGGGGCACGTCCTAGATCTTCATCTTTGCATGTTTTCTTTATCCTAAACACTTAATTTCTCCTTAACTAACAATAACGCAGGTGATCGGTGTCCTTTTTGCGCATCACTTAGTTGCTCACCTTGTTGCTATCACCATTGACCCAGCAGATCATAATGTGCTGGCCAAGAAAAACTACAGCAGCCCCATGCCAGTCTTTGACAGAGGCAAGCACAAGCATGTCATTCAGAACCAGCACTGTTATCTCTGTGAAGTTGACGTGTAAGTTTATGCAGTAAAAACATATCAAAAAGATCTGGATTGTTTTTCTTTAAATCCAGAGATGTTTTATATTTTTCTTTGCTGTTGTGAAGTCATTTTCCTGCTGGCCAGATTGGAGAGAAACTGACCTGTTAGTAAGAAATTTGTGGCTTTGAATTTGCACCATCTATAGTTGAAGTTGCCTGACAATTCCCTTATAAGATCCTATTTTCAATTGCTTTTAAGTGTCACAGACTTCACCTTTCAGGCTGAAATTTTCCATACCAGAGGTTTGCTCCAGGGTGATTTTAATGTTTCAGCTAACATGATTCAGCTGTTTCTGAGAATTGTGCTGTCCATGATTTTTAGAAAAAAAAAATTCTCAAAAACTTTTTTGCTGAGGGCCTGTCCTTTCAGAGCAGGGACTTGAAATTTGGCAGGAGGGTTGCCCTGGGGTGTGCTTTTTGCCATCCCTGTGAAACTCTCCGCCAACATAATGCTGTCCACACCAACGCTTAAATAGGTGTAATTTACGTTGCTGGGGGGGTGGGCAGGAGGGGAGAGAAGATTATTTCTTCACCCCCCTATGAGCGACATCATTTATGCCAACATAAGACATAGTGTAGACATAGCCTTACTGGGACTTTATCTGCAGTCGCTCCTCCCACCCGCCAAGGGATCCTGGGGTATCAGACACAAACTGAGAGCAGGGAGACCCTCTCTCCTTGCTGGTGCACAGGCCATGTAGAAGGACAGCCAGAGGAATCCTGATTAGAATGCCGAGGGGGTGAGGAATTGTGGGGGATGGGAAGGGCTATGTGGTTTTGGACTGCTTGTGATTTCTTTGTTTTTTGGGGGTAATATATAAACCTGTTACAAGACATCTGTCTGTTGGAGACTACCCATGTCTCCATAAGTGTGGCCTATTTTGCTGACTAATTCTTATTCCATTTTATTTATATCTTTTTGTTTTTAGAGGGCCAAAAGCCAAACACTGTAGTGCCTGTAATAAGTGCATTGCGGACTTCGATCACCACTGTAAGTGGCTCAATAACTGTGTGGGAGGCAGAAATTACTGGTAAGCCAATACGGGCTAGCTTTGATAATATTGATTTGTCCATGAAGAAATCAATGGAAGCTAAGTGTAATGAACCAGATGCTTTTTCCACCTCCCCACCCCCCTTTGAGGACATTTAACTGCTAGGTAGAGATTGGCTGATTTGGAGGGAGCATTCCTATGTCAGCAGCCTTTTATTCAATGGTGGGAAAATGAAGTCAAGTGAATGACTCCTCCCTGGGAAATCAGTTTTAAATATATCCCATTCCTCCTCCATATGGCCCAGAAACATCTAGTTTTTACTGTGTTTGCAGTTGTTTCTAATAAGTCCACTGTACCAATCTATGTGTTAGCCATGAAGTTGCTTGACCACTATCTCTAGTCACAATAGCTATGGCAGATATATGTTCCCCTACCAATTTGAGAGTTAATTCTTATCTTGCAGGCCTTGATCTTTGAGTTAAATAAGTGTCCTTAGCTGGTATTGTTTGATCTGTACTAAGTGTATTGTTGTTATCCTGTAATTAATAAAACTTGTGCTTTTAAAAATATCTTTTGTTGTACTATAGGCATTTCATTTTTATTCAAATTTGCAGCATCAGTCCAAAAACAATACAGTAAAGAAATTAATTTCCTTTTTTCTTTTATTGGATTTTTATACTATATAGAACAGAGTGAAGAAAAGAAATGCATACAATATACTTAGGCATGAAATATTCTAGTTAATATCTTGTAAGGAAGGTAAAATAGACTGAAGCAAACCCATGTGATATTTATTTTACCAAATCCCCCTTGTTTTTGAATTCTACATGCCAATCTTCAGTTTGTAAAGTAGCCCACCATTTTAAAATAGCCCACCATTGGTCATGAGGAAAGAAGGTCTAGAGTGAGAGCCTGCTACCTACTCTATGGATATATAAAGATATATATGTGAGCACTTACAAAAAGAGTAGAACAAAATGTGAGCTACTTCAGCCCCTGAATATGATTTATGGTGAAAATTGTGTAAATTCTTCTTCACATTTAAAATGCCACAAGCTGAATGGAAAAGAAAAAGATGAATTGTTTGAACAGAAGAGTAGCAAAAGGAGTGTGAGTGGGAAATGACTGAAATCTATATTTTGTAGTAAAGCCACAGTAACTCGAGTGGTTCTTTGTTTTGCCACAGTTCAAAACAGACTCTAGAAAATGACAAGTAGGTGAGGTTCTTTAGTGTATGTTAGAGAGGTGAATGGGGGCTATGTTTAGAGGGATTTATTTTAATTTGGTCGGTGAGTGGAACAATCTTTTGACCTTGTCCCATTACCCTGGCTAGTAGCAAATGGCTCTGGGGTATAAGCTTCCAATCCCATGATGTAACAGGTGTGTTGTAGATGGCCTGGGGGTCATTGGGTGGAAAAAAGTCTTGTTGCCATTATAAAATACTCTGGGGGAATATACCCTATTGAGACAGATTACGGTTTATTGGACAGTAGTGGATGGATAAGGGATTTAGAGTGTAGCTGTGACCAAGTACCACAACCGTATGTTGGAGTCAGAGGCTTATTCTTCTGGATGATTCCACTGCAAATGTGGATGATACTTCAGGAGTGACCTTAGATGTCATATTGTACCATGACATCCATGGGGCACTCCCTGATGGGTTTTGGCACTAAATTTAAAGCTAGCTTGCATTGGATTTTATCTCTGATTTGGAGGGGTTGGGGGTGGTCAATGTTCTCATTTTGGTTTGGCATCAGGGCTTACCCTTTGCTCTCTCTGGTACAGTGGAACCATTTTATTTGCTTAACCACAAAGACAGGTGGCCCAGTAGGGTTTCAGAGCTCTTTAAGGGAGAATATTCAATGTCAGTGCATGTGTGCTATTCTTTCTGTGGTCCGGTTAGACACTGATTTATTTGTCCTCTACTGTCAGTAGAGTTCTAATACCCCCAGCTTTGCACCTTCCTCACAGGTCAACCTTTTCTTCAGGCAGCCTGTGATAAAGGTAATGGAAAGAGAAGAGCAGAAGGCTAAGTGCTGGTGACAGAAACCAAGCTCTAAATCTGATTGATCATATCATAAATCACTTTTGAAGTTTTATGCAATGGCTGTAATGGAGACAAAAAAGTTTTCTTCTCTTCCATCACAGCCACTGAAGTTACAATTGACAGCACTGGTGAACCTTGGTTCCCTTATCACGGTACAACCCAGATTGTCTGTTTTCATCTATGGAAGTCCCATGTTGTTTGGTTCTTTCTTGGCTAATTTACAAATTTGCCTCTTCTATTCCATTGGCTTAAGTCATTTGAGAAACACGAGCTGTCAGGTTTAAACATCTGGGTGCTGGAGGCAGGCTATGTTTGGTGAGCAGCCAAAGATACTGAAACTCATACCACTGGACCAACAGAGCCCAATTATTTATTTTACCTTCAGTAGATGCCTAAAGGCATAAGGTTACACAGGCTTTTGCTTGAGAGGATGGCCTGTGAGGAGTGGAGGGAGTTAAGTGTTCATTTGTGTGGGGGTGGGTGTGTTTGGGGATGTGAATGAAGTATTTTAACTGAGATTGATATAATTTCATTCTTGTATTTTTTACTTGAAAGATATTTTATAAATAAACAAATACTGTTCTTTTAAATTAGTGGAAGTTCACAAAAGCTTCATTTCTGTGAAGCTGCATGCCTGGTCATCCTCTGAGTATAGTGTTTTGTTTCTCTTATGTACATAGGTTTTTCTTCAATGCTGTTGCCTCTGCTGTACTTGGTGTCTTCCTCCTGATACTGGTGATCCTTTATGTCTTCATCCAGTACTTTGTGAATCCAGCACAACTACGCACAGCACCTCAGTTTGAAAGTATTTTTCCACTGACTTAAAATATATTGTGTACTTTTGACGTAGTTTATCTAATGGTACGCTCCCAGAGATCCAGTTATGTATAAACTTCATTGAAAGAAGATGTCAATAGGACTTCTTGGTCAGAAGGTTGTTGGTTGACACTAGTGCAGTGCTGGGAGGGTGCTGTGATGTTAAAGATGGTCATTCTTCAGATGAGAAATTAAAGTGAGTTCTTTTCTGCCTCTCTCTTATGGTTTTCTTGGTGAAAGTTAAAGATTTCATACCTTTTCCCAAGATTAGGAAATATAACCCCTATGTACAGACCACCATATTCCTGACCTGGTTCTTTAATAAAACAAGTCCCTGTATATGATGGACTTCTGGGTCCCACAGTGGCTGCTGTGTTTTGCCTATGTAGTCAACTAACTTACTGTGTAAAGCATATACATTTAAACTGTCTTCACGTTCAACTAGAGGAATTTTACTGCACACATATGTCTTAGGAGTAGACACGTAGATATGTAGAAAGAGAATGTAAAAGTGCTTTTAAATACCCTTAAATTACTCAGATATTCCACTGGCCTAATCTAAATTTTGTTTCTAGCTCTATGAGAAATACTCTTAAATACATAATATCTAAAAAAGATATTTATATCAATTTTTCTGTCTTCCATAACACTGGAAATGGAGATTTAAACACAAGGCGATTTTAAATGATTTACCACATGTTTAGTAGATTTAGAGAGATGTATGACTTCTAGACTTCCAGAAATTAGTTGGGTGGATGGGGGAGAAGTATAAGTCTATCTGAAACTCATTCAAGTGAGGGTTTGCTGGAACCAGATGTGTGTGATGCAAAGCTTCCCCGTATAACTCTTCTAGCTATACCTTGATCCTGATCTGTAATACCTTCCTACCATTCCATTTCTGAGATTCAATTTGAGCAGAAAGTAATTGTGCCATGGTTAGCCAGTGCTTTGTGAGCTGGGTTTGGCTCAAACCACTGGATTTGTGACCTGAATCAAGATGTGAATCCAGATCTCCAGAAATGTTGGGACAGTGCTTTAGGGTAAAATTTTCAAAAGCACCTCTAAGTACCATTTTTCAAAAGTGATGAAGTACTTAGCCTCATACGTCCCATTGACTGTGAAGTAGACTTAGGCTTCTGATTCACTTACTTGCTTTGGAAAATTTTACCCCCGGTCTGTTACACTCCCGCACTCCCCAATCTTCAGTTTTTGAGGACCCATGAGTAGTCCAAGTAAACAGAGCTAGGAAGTCTATTTATCCTTCTGGTTCTGTTTTAGAAAGTTTTTTAAATCAAAACAAATAAGAGGTGAATAGCCTTGTGCAAAGAACCGTCAAAAAGCCCAGTTGTTAAGGGACAGTTACTTGAGCTGTAGGAGAGACTGTGGGTAACTTGGTTTTTCCTATTTCCATTACCAGAAGGATGAAGTGTTTTATTTTCCCCCTTTACTTTGCCCTGGTAGGAGTCATTGGAAACAACACATGGTTGGCCTTTCTTCCTGTTGCTCCTGCGGAGACTGCAGCAGCTGGAATCCTGACTATAGCGGTGATCACTGTGCTCCTGGGAATTGCATCGCTCCTGCTACTGGGACACTTGTTGATATTTCATCTTTACCTCTGTATGTAATATTTCTCGATAAGCAGGTGGGCAATGATTGTTTCAGGAACATCCTTCTCAGTCTGTTGCGATCAACAACTATAAAGGTTCCATCTTTTTAATTTGTTTTAAATATCTATAAACCCACGTATGGAAAACTTCAGCCTCAGTGGCCAAAGCTCATTGGTGATAAGCAACTGATAACAGAGAGTTATAACAGAAAGTGTTGGGCAACTATGTCCCCAATAATACGTTACATTTTGCATGCACAAATGCAGTTTGGCCAGAAAATGTACCAATAACAGAAAAAGACGAAGACTGATTATTTGAATTAGCTTAATTATCAAAGAGTGAACATCACCCCTGTGGAAAATCCTGCATACAAAATGAAATGTATACTCTTCCTATAAATGGAAAGAAATAATTCTGCTTCCTTTTAAAGGGTTTACTTTTAGAGGGTCTAAAGAGGGATCAAAGATTCTCTTTATTTGGCATTTTTAAAATCAAGTTTGTGTCTTTCCTAAAGATATGATAGTTCAATGAGAAGTTCTGGGCTTGATGCATGAATTATGGGGTGAAATTCGATAGTTTGTGACTAGATAATCATAATCCCTGCTGGCCTTAAAAATCTATTAATCTACAAATATATACTTTTCGCGTAGCTAACTATCTTTCAGTATCTTCCTTTGGTCAATACGGACCAATATTTGTAATCTTGTGTCCCTTCAACTTTTCAGTTTTCCAAAGAGAAGAACTTGATTCTTATTTGCATGTTGTTTGACATGCAGACATTCAGAAGTGTTGGAAGAATATTTTCTTTAATATTTGTTTGTTTCATTTTTAATTGTCCACTGCTTTGGTGGATATGCATAGCAGTTCATTAACAATAAAATGCAAATGCATCCAACGTATGTTTTTAGGTACGGTGAAGTTGAAAGTTTCTATATGCGACTGGGGTAGAGGAGAACATCGAGAGTATATTCAGTGCCAGTGCATCACTTAACGCATCGTCTTGCAGTTACCAAATAAATACATTTTAAGTTCCATTTAAAATATTTATACTTTTTGTTTTCAAATATGTTTTCCTAACTAGTTTTCAAAATAATATGAAGGGCATGTAATTTCAAAACTTATGAATTGAGCCTGCCTGGTTGGCCTCTCTGCTGCTTTTGTTTCACTTTATGGTTATTTCTCCCTCTTTCCACCCCTCTCCTGATCATCACCTCTTCCTGCCTCACTTCCACAAATGCACTTCAGTTGAAGTGATATATAAGATGTAATGGCGTTTTGATCTTGATCATATGGCCAACTGATCTTGCCAGTTGTGCTTTCTGTTTTTGCAAGTATGTGGGGTGAGAAGAACCAGCCTGCTTATGCCAGGTAAAAGGACTGGAGTGGCACAAAGGAGCCCTAAAAGCCCTGGTTCCAGCTGGGGGAGAATTCTCCCAGTGGAGACACTACAAAAGAGAGCTAGGAATCCATCTTCCAAGGACCCTTTTGCAAGCCCTGGCATGGTGAATGAGCTGGGGGTGGGGCCACGACACACTGAATTGCAGAAATTCCAAGCACCACTGTGGCCCAGAAGGCAGACCAGGGACGTTGCTGTTAAAATGCAGAGAGCCAAGGGGGCCCATCTAACTACCCCAGGGGCTTCTCCAGACCCTGTATCTGCCCAGATTGGAAGGGCGCAAAGGTGGCTTTTAATGCCACCACAGCCTACCTTCACCCTGGACTGCAAGTTTTGTGCCGCACCTCTTTTTGAGGCATAGCACAGAATCTCACCCCTGGTGTAAACACAACCAGCTTCAAATCTTTCCTTTTCCAGAGCAAAGACATTTTTACCACCATGAAATATCTGAGCTGGAAAAGCATTCTAGATATTGGCATGTCAAGAAGTACACTAAACGTTAAAAGGTTCTCTTATACAGCGTGCTTTGCAAAGCTGCATTCCATACTTTAATTGTAATGTTTTTCCTCTGTGTAGATATTTTTACCTAAGTAAAAAAAAATTGGGAGCTTTTGAGTGTTTCTTGTTTTTCACGAAGGAAACCGATTGATTAATTACCAGTGACATGGGTGCCTCTTTATTGAAATCCACAGCATTCTATGCTTTTTACGGTGACTCTCTTCCCTTCTTACTGTATTTGATCAGATTAAAGGTTCCAGAGTACTTCACTGGTAGCCTAGCTTTCTTCATGTTTTTCTTTTTAAAGTCCAGAGTATGGGGTAGTACTAAAATAATTATTACCAAGGTGTTTGACCTTTTCAAATGTGCTTCTTGACAATGTTTTGCCATAGTCATGCGACTACTCAACAAATCAGACTTTGACCTTTATAATATTTTTTTAATCATCCTTTGATTGCTTTGGCAAAGCATGATACGTTTAAAAATTATCCATACCTGTTGAATCAGATATTCACATACCTCTTGAAAATTAACTGTTTGGACTGTGTAGGTAGGTTGGAGGATATAATTAAATATCCACGATATTCACACCATTGCAAATATTCTTTGAATTTAATAGCCACAAAACTTCTATTCCCAGAAAACCTTTAATTTAGTAAAGCTGGTAAATAAAGATTTATTTATTTTAACATACATTTTTTAGAACATCTGAATTCCAAACAAACGTTTGAAAATTGGGAAATGTATAGTACGTTCCCACAATCACCCTTTGAAATCACTTGCTATAAATGCAAACCTAATGCTATGATTCATTTTTTCATGTCAGTTCTCCTTTGTAGAAGAGATGGAAGTGACTTATTGTGTCATCAAATAGAACTCTCTGCAATACAGGATTTGTCACTGTAGCTTATGATCTAGTCATAAATGTCTATCCATGCATAAAAGTTCTTATGATGCTCAAAACTATGCATGGTTCTTGATGAAAGCTATAATTTTTGTGAAGAATTTCTGAAGCACTTGGAATGTTTTTCCCTACAGTGCACACAGTATTCAGTTAACTTCCCAGCAAAGTTTTTAATAGAACCTTGTTTGCTAACTCTCCTTAAGGATTAGTAAATGCAACACATTTGGAATTTGTAGGTTAACGTTGTTGTTTTTATTTGTTTATGTGAGATGGCAAATAAGTTAAACTTTATGCAAAATGAAATACTAGTAATTTTTGGAGGTTTCAGATCTTAAATGGCCATAGTCCATCTCTAGCTTTACAGTACATGATTCTTCTCTGTCAGGACATCAACCATACAAAAATTCAAGTGGAAAGACACTTTCTGATGGATGTTAGAGGACAGATGGTATAAAATTTAGCTTTATGAAAAAGTCTTAACACCTTAACTATGGAATTGCTACTGAGACTACATAATTCCACTCTAATGTTTTGAAGCACTGAGATATGTGCACTTAATTGTTGCAATGCACCCAAAAAGAATAAACTAGTATATGTTAAAGGCATTAACAAAGAAAAAAACATTTATATTTTAGTGCAACTTAAGATTACACTGTTGTATACTTGCATTTATATCTACTTTTCTTAGCCAGGCTATGATTAGAGGGAAGTTTGCTGATTCTTGGTCAATCAATGCAAATGTTTGGGAATAGTACCTCCCAGCCAGTAGGTGGAGACAATACAATGAACGCTTTTGGTGGTGTCATCCCTCTATATGTGGGGCTTGCTTGTTCACCACAGGTCTATTTCTCTCTCAAGCAGGGATCGAAAGCTACACAGTGCCCCGAAATAAAGAAAAATGGGCCTGGAGTCACTCATGGGAGAGGACTCCTGTAGCTGGGCAGGGTATTAACAGGTTTATGGCTCTAACTCCTGCTTTTGTGGGCAGCATGTTTCCAAGCCAGGAAGCCCCCTCCTGAGTCACCTGAACCTCATGCCCCCCAGAGAGGCTCTTTTCCTTGCTGCAGGGCAGCCTCTTCTGGGCCTTCAAACATCCCAGAACTGGACACACATTTAAACTCTGCCACAGCTCCTCTTTTTCTGCTCCCAAAGTTAGGGGACAAATGTGGGGCTGCTTCTTCAACTGTTCCCCCACATATGTCTCTCCTCCCAGGACCCCGACATGGAGCCAGGGAGAGCTGCACTGGGCTCATGGCTTAGACTCAAGGGCAGCTGAGTTGGCTGTGAGGTGCTCAAAGAAAACAACAGAGTGACAACAGGGAACGGTGAAAATGGCCTCAGGAATTCCGCAAGTGCAGGAAAAAGGAAAATACTCTGGTTTAAAAAACAAACAAACACCTGGCAGAATTACCCAGTAATTTCCTATCAAGCTCCTGCAGATCTTTACAACCACTTCCAGTTCATCCACAAGTCAAGCACAGGGATTGTCCAGGGGTGGGAACTACCAAACAGACTAACCAAGTCAGTTGTACTTGCTTTCCAGAAGGAATGCAAAGGTACTTGCTGAAAATCCTTGTGTAGAAATGTCCATTTTAAGGATAATGAGGTCACCCAGACCTGACACAAACAGAACTTTGGTACAGGGGAAAAAAAGAGGGGTTTCATGATGTCTGGTCCCATGCTCCGGGTACCCATGCAGTGGGGCCTGCAATCATGCATACCTCTGGTAGTGGAAAGGAGGAGCAACACTGGCTGACCCACTACCCATTCAGGTTTGGCCCCACCAGGTCTCTGTTGTGACAAGGGGGTAGTGGAACCAAAACTGTGTGAATGGTGTTGTGATCTCCATGCATAGGGGTGTGGGTCGCAATGCCGCTCAATTCTGGCCTCACAGCCCCTCTGTCGTGATGAAGGATCCGGGAGCAGTGGAGCAGCCAGTGTTACTCCTCCTCACCAGGGCTTCCCCCCGACCCCAGGGGCCTGCCCGTCCTTGCCCCACTTCCAACAGCCTGCATCCTCTCTCAAGATGGGGAGTAACACTGCAGTTGGGTGGGCCGGGCTAGAAGGCAAGGGCTGATGATGGTACAGACCAGGCAGGCAAGGTGCTGGGGCCATCAGCTGCAGCGGGCATGGCCCCACAGGGTTTGATGTGTGTACATTGGGAAAAATTTTTAGGGGTGCCTGTGTACACAGCCTATTTCTCTAGAGCAATGCTTCAGCCTGCACAGAATCTGCTACAGGAAATGGTGAAAGAACTTTCTTAAAAAGGTATCAGGGATTTTTTTCCTCTTGTCTTCAGGCTGCTTGGCCTGTTGTTGCTGTTGATTAGGAATGGGGGAGCAAGAAATTTGTGGCTTGGTTTTCTTCCAAATCTGCTAGAACTACTGGTACAGCAAGCAGATGTAAAAAGTTAAATCACTTGTTTTTCCTTAACTGTATCCATTTCAAAATGTATTGATCAGAGACAAGGGATGAGAAAAAGAAATCAGACTCCTGATCCATTACGTTTTCCTTGTTCTTGTGGAAATGTACCAGTATTCGGTTACTGTGTGAGACTTGATGGTAGAAATTGGCAAAAGAAAGTTTTATTGAAGTGTAAAACCACATGAATCTCATCTGGTTTCATGTTCCATCACCATCTTGAATACCAATCATATATGTAGGCAGAGTTGCTAAGATTAACAATCAATTGGGGTAAATGTTAAGCTTGTATCAAAATTTTACAGACTTTTGGCATGCTTTCAGGGTTGAAACTTGGCCATTCTGAGTGCATTTTATTTAAGAACACAAGAATGGCCTTACTGGGTCAGAGCAATGGTACATCTAGCCCAGCATCCTATCTTCCAATAGGGGCCAATGCCAGATGCTTCAGAGGGAATGAACAGTTATGGGCAATTATTGAGTGATCCATTCCCTGTCATCCCAGGAACTGGCAGTCAGAGGCTTAGGGACACTCAGAGCATGGGTTTTCATCTCTGACTAATTTGGCTGATAGCTACTGATGGATCTTTCCTCCATGAACTTATCTAATTCTTCTTTTAACCCAGTTATACTTTTGATCTTCATAACATCCCCTGGCAATGAGTTCCACAGGTTGACAATGCTTTGTGTGGAGAAGTACTTAGTGATACTGGGTTCTTTCTAACTGGAAATTCCAAAGTGAAACGTAAGTTTCCATCAGCATGGATTGAAATTGAAGAGAACTTTCACACATAGACATGGCCAGAATGAAATAGCTCAGTTTGAACAGCTCTACTTGCTATTCAAAGCTTAGATGGAAGCTTTTTAACTCTGTGTTTCTCTCTTTGTGAGCACCTAAAATTTCTTTTAATCTTTTCAGGACTTCCTGTGCTCTGAACATTGTATTAGTGCAGCCTCTTGAAAACTTGACTGTCATTCTGCCAGTAACAACTGGTTGCAGCCAAATCACGCTATGGAACATGTCAGGGACACTTCTCCACTGTTATATCATTAGAAACTGTAAATCAACACACTTATAATGCCAAATCCCACATGATGATGATTGATGAAGCTGAAGTTTATCACAATAGAATATTCATAAGGAAATATAATTCTACCAAGTGCTACGATGATTAGATGCTATTGATGATAGAGATGAAACAAAATGACCACTTCACAGCCTTTCGAGTGTGCTAAATATAAATGCAGAAAAAAAGAAATACACATTGTGGGTCCTTGATTCAGGTGGTGTAGAGAGGTTGGATAATCCCATATATTTAAAATGTGGTGCTAGTTTTTTGTGCTGTAAATTGCATAGCTACATGGGATAAGTTTAAATTAAATTGTAGTTTGTGTTCTTTGTTGTAAACAGTGGGTAAGAAGCTGAGTACTTTTGACTATATCACAGAGCAGCGACGCACACAGAATACCAGGGACCCAGAAAGTGATGTGGAAGTGACAGAAAATACATCTGTCAGAATGGATCCCCTACAGGTAGGACCTTGCATCCAGAAATTCATCTTCTTTCTGGTGCCTGTGAGTTCTGCAAAGTTAGTGTTGGAAATTGATATGGTGGGCCAGAAATCTAGGGATTCTATCACCTGAGAAGGAAGGATTCTTTGATTGCTAACAGATGGATTCACCAAGGGCAAGTCATGCCTGACTAATCTAATTGCCTTCTGTGATGAGATAACTGGCTCTATGGATGCGGGGAAAGCAGTGGACCTGTTATTCCTTGACTTTAGCAAAGCTTTTGATACAGTCTCCCACAGTATTGTTGCCAGCAAGTTGAAGAAGTATGGGCTGGATAAATGGACTATAAGGTGGATAGAAAGCTGGCTAGATCATCGGACTCAACAGGTAGTGATCAATGGCTCCATGTCTCGTTGGCAGCCAGTATCAAGTGGAGTGCCCCAAGGGTTGGTCCTGGGGCCGGTTTTGTTCAATATCTTCATAAATGATCTGGAGGATGGTGTGGACTGCACCCTCAGCAAGTTTGCAGATGACACTAAACTGGGAGGAGTGGTAGATATGCTGGAGGATAGGGATAGGATACAGAGGGACCTAGACAAATGAGAGGATTGGGCCAAAAGAAATCTGATGAGGTTCAACAAGGACAAGTGCAGAGTCCTGCACTTAGGACAGAAGAATCCCATGCATTGCTACAGATTAGGGACCGAGCGGCTAGGCAGCAGTTCTGCAGAAAAGGACCTAGGGGTTACAGTGGACGAGAAGGTGGATATAAATCAACAGTGTGCCCTTGTTGCCAAGAAAGCTAACAGTATTTTGGGCTGTATAAGTAGGAGCATTGCCAGCAGATCGAGGGACGTGATTGTTTCCCTCTATTCGACACTGGTGAGTTCTCATCTGGAGTACTATGTCTAGTTTTGGGCCCCACACTACAAGAAGGATGTGGAAAAATTGGAAAAAGTCCAGCAGAGGGCAACAGAAATTATTAGGGAGCTGGAACACATGACTTATGAAGAGAGGCTGAGGGAACTGGGATTATTTAGTCTGCAGAAGAGAAGAATGAGGGGGGATTTGATAGCTGCTTTCAACTACCTGAAAGGGGGTTCGAAAGAGGATGGGTCTAGGCTGTTCTCAGTGGTGGCAGATGACAGAACGTGGAGTAATGGTCTCAAGTTGCAGTGGGGGGAGGTTTAGGTTGGATATTAGGAAAAACGTTTTCACTAGGAGGGTGATGAAGCACTGGAATGGGTTACCTGGGGAGGTGGTAGAATCTCCTTCCTTAAAGGTTTTTAAGGTCAGGCTTGACAAAGCCCTGGCTGGGAAGATTTAGTTGGGGATTGGCCCTGCTTTGAGCAGGGGCTTGGACTAGCTGACCTCCTGAGGTTCTTTCCAACTCTGATATTCTATGAGCTCAGGAAAAGTTTTCACCAAGTCAGCCACAATGCTGATAAGGGAATTTTTTTTCCAGCAAATTGTTTTACTGTAGGTAGCTTGATAAATGCTGGACTAAGACAACTAAGTGCTATCTCATATTGAAAGATGGACCTTAAACCATGGACCTAAAAACACCTGCAAAAAACAATTTGGATCCAGCATGGGTTTAAATTAAAAAAACAAGCTGATGGTGTACTGGACTGTTGCCTTCACCACCCGTTTATATGGATATACATTCTGGGCGTGTTTTCTTTCAGTATGTCCACCTGACAAGTTTCACCAGCACCAGAGTGCATATGCTAAGTGGCAGTGCAAAATCACCAATGTTGAGGTGCTGAAGCAAAGAAAGACCATGAACACTGAGGTCATATGATTAGACTTCGGCTTTGTGTCCACATTTAAAAATTGTTAATAGTTAGCACCTGAAGGGCTACAGAATGCCAATATTCTGAGCTGAAGCTAGGAAAGCAAACAAGGCAAACATTATAAAAGATATGAGGAATGTCTGCAGTTTAACCTAAAACTCTGTCTCATCAATATTGCCACCTCCTAGCATTCAGAAGTCTTGATTCATGCCCCCAAAATGTATGAAATTGGCTTTAAAATTCTGAGCATTCTATTTTGTTTTGTTTTGAAAGTGGAGTTCTTTTTATTTGCCTTCCAGTTTTTGAGCTCTTCAGGTTCATGTTTTCAAGCTTTCCTTCCCAATCCTGAGGGCTACGCATTTCCAACTTTTTTTTTTCCCTTAAATGAAAGCTGACTTGTGCAATCACTTGAGTCCAAGAGCTGGAGATTTAAGAAAAGCTCCAAATATCATAAGACTTCTGTTTAAAATCATAAGTGGCAACACTGTAACATCAACAACACCAGAAAGCAAAATCTTGCAGCTGACTGTGAATTGTCTAATAATGTATTCATGTTGAAGAACACCAGCATATTGACCTCCTAATAAATAACATCCGTGCAAATGAGAGACTAACCTGGTGCCCCAGATTGGTTATCTAGATCAGTGAAGCATGTGGGAAAGAATGCCTTTTCTGTTGGTCTTAAAAATGGCAAATGCTGTTGTCCATCATAATAACTATTTTCTTTAATAGTCATCTTTATATTCAAAGAGCCACTATATGTTGTGTGTTCTGACTTTCAGGTACAAGTATTGCTTTGAACATTTGATCCAATGAACATTTAAAATGAAACCTCAACATCTACAATCTTAAGAAGAAGAAGAATGCATAACCTACTGTAAAAATGTTGACACCCATTCCTCCTGCTTTCCTCTAATCTTCCCATTTCTTGTTTTCTTCTGTGTAATGTGGTTTCTGACCTTTAGATTGTAAGCTTTTGGGGGCACAGACTCTGTGTGTGTGTGTGTGTGTGTGTGTGTGAGAGAGAGATACCTAACATATTGTTGAGTGCTGGATAAATAAGATCAATGATATTAAAACAGGAGATTTTTGCCCACCCATAGAATGAGACTTATTCAACAAGTAAAGAGTTTGTTTATTTGTTTAATAAATTAGTGTACTATTTTAAAAATGTATTTTAATAGCATTATATAAATATTTGTTTTACCTCATTTGCTCAAAGCAATATAAACCTTTCAAAAATATTGTCTAGAGACTGTCTAGAGGCACAAAATTCTAACAGGTGGTGGGGGTTTTGTTTGTTTGTTTTTTGGGTTTTTTTTAGGATTTGTCTTTATCAAGTCAACAAAAGGAGTGTGAGGTTTCAGTTTCATCTCGATCTGGGTAAGTTAAATACAAAATTAAATAGAATGTATCCATGTTTAAAGCCTACCTTAGCTGTGCATAACTACAGTTAACAACTTTTATCTGAAAATTTAAAAATTGGTGTTCGATTCAAATCAGTGTGTGATGTCTGGGGCAGGGATCATGTGTGGTGTAATACCACACTCATCATTAGTATTTAGCAATAATGACTTTGTATCATATAAAGCCAAATCGTGGAGGTGGTGGTAGCAGCTTCATAGTAAAGGTAGCACTGTGATTTGTAGGAAATTCAGGAGTAAAATCCCTCTTTTAAATACCTTAAAGATTAGATTGCTTCACCAAAATTTAGCATATTAATTTCTTAGAGGACAATTGAATTTTCTGTGACGTTTTCAGACAATCATCTTGCAAGATTTGAAAAGGAAGCATTGGAAAGTGGCCCCTCTTAACGTGTGGTCCTGGGAGCCTAACACTTTTTTGTCTCTTCAGATCTAACAGCCTAGAGTCCATGGCAACTCCAGACTTCACACGCAGCTTTGATAACATCTCAAGCATGGCTGCATTTAAAAGAAATAATCAGATTTTTCCCTTTTTCTCATAATTTACTTCTCCACAATGGGAACTTAGTGGAAATGGTGGTCTCCATTCTTGGAATGCTGTCACCCTGCTTTCCTGTCTAGAACTGTGCTCAGCACAGACAGCCTGCTAAGATAGGCTGTTCAGAAGGCAGGCAATGAGAGAGGGACTTCTGAGGCAGAAGAGATAGAAGAAGGGTAGCTGTCCAGGATGATAAGCCCAGTAGAGTACACTCCTCCCTAAAGCTCTTCGCTGGAGGGCTTAAAATCTATCTTCCTTTCCCTTTCTCTCCCAAATGAGAAACCAATTTGTTATCCTAGCACTCTCCCCACTCAACGTGATTGACTTCTTCATGCTCTCTGCAATCTGCTGTTGGCCTTATCTCCCCGTTCCGTACACCATATAGTGAAATCTTGGTTCTATTGAAATCCATGTCAAAATTCCAATTGACTTCACTGGGGCCAGGATTTCAACCCAAGTCTCCTCTCTCCTGCCTGACCTCCCTGATATAATCTAGCTTCCCCATTAGTGGTTCCCAGTTTAGAGGAGGAATTTGGTACAAGTAGTGAGGGAGGCAGATCACACTGGGTGCACAGGTTAGAGTAAATGACTTCTTGCAATAGAGAAGGCAAGTTGAGACTGGTTTCTTCCATGACTCCTGATTTATCTTGCTTGCCTGAAACTAGAAACCATCCCTCTTTTTATTAAGGCAACCGTACAATAAAATATTAACATTGTACATATTCAGGATCAGATTCATATTCAAACAACCTGGCTGAAGACCCAGGAACAGCTGTTTGATTTTGAGTAATCTTAGCTCTTACTCACAATGAATAATCACTCTGATAATAAGGAATTTATTCCAAGGAAATATTAATTAAAGTAGCTAAGGAAGAATCCCTTGGCAACAAGAAATTAAAAAAAAATGTCCAAAGCTGCTATGGTCAGCTGCATGAATGGGTGATTTTTTAATTATTATCTTAGTGACCTAAGTTTCTTTTTAACCCACGAATTACTATGAATAGTTATATTTGGGCTCCAGTCTTCAAGTTTCACCCAGTATTTGGAAGGTCTGTTATTAATCCAGTTGATCACATCTTTTAATTGTGATGCATAATAATAAGCCAAATTAGGGAAAGCTACTTCACCCCATTTTGTAAGCTTATACACACCTTTATACAGAACCACCCTTTTTTCTTTCTTTTTTTCCATATGGATTTTAATAGCACATCCTGCCATGTTTTTGATGTCATGTCAGGGATACAGACAGGGATAGAGTGAAACAAAAATAACTTTGAAAGGACATTTCAAATTTCAGATGTGTTCTATTCCTCCAAGTATTTTATTCCATATTGGAGGGTAATTTTGCCTTAAAAATATTTGTATGTTTTTCCATAGTATTTATTCCTAAATATTTTAAAGATTTCTTTATCCATTTAAAGTTATGTCGCTGAACATAGGGGTTTTTATACCTTTTCAGAAATATGAATTATTGACATTTCAGATTTCTTGTAGTTTATTCTGAATCCTCAACCGGCCCAGATTCCAAAGTCAGTTGTTTTGTCATTTTTAATGAGGTTTTTGGATCCTGCAAATATAGCAAGACATCATCAGCATACAAAGCTATTTTGTGTTCTAATCCAAAAGGCGTTTTGATACCCTTTACCGGGAATCTGTTTCTCACATTCATTGCAAATGGTTCCACTGCCAAAGCAATCAGGGTTGCCGGTTATCCCCCCTATCTTGTAGCTTCTTCAAATTAAAAGGAGGGGATTGATGACCATTAACCAAAACAGACGTTTGAGGATGATTATATAGGGCCAATGTGCCCCTATAAAACTGATTTCCAAAACCAAACCTTACCAAAATCTGCCTGAACTACTCCCACTCCAGCTAGTCAAAGGCTTCCTCAGCACCCAAAGAGATTCGTGCACATTAGAACTGGTAGAATTAACATTATAGATCAAATTCAGAGTTCTTCTGATATTATCAGATAGATGCCTGCCACCAACAGACCCAAATTGGTTAGAGTGAACATATCTGATGAGACTCCATCTGTTTGCTAGTACGTTGGCATAAATTTTAGCATCCACATGAACTAAAGAAATAGGTCAGTATGATGCACAATTGGTAAGATCATTTCCTTCTTTAGGAATGACAGACTTTGCCCCTTTCCATGAATCTGATATCTCATTCCCCTGCAATATGCCATTAAACAACACTTAGAGCTGTATAATACTCCCCAGAAAACCAATTGAAACCTGGAGTTTTATTGGATTTTAAATTCTTAATTACAACTTCAACTTCCTCTGCAGCAATCTGCGTACCAAGAGCTGCCACATCATCCCCAAGAGCTGAAGTAGTTTCACACTTCTCAAATATGTTTTTTATAAGTTCAGGATTTGGATGTTCTGAAACATACAAAATGTGGAAAATGTTTCATAAATCTGTTTTATGCCAGTTACTAAATCTCTTTTTATTTCTAATCAGAGGGATGGCTGATTTATCCTGTTTCTTTTTTAACTTTCTGGCTAAAAGTCTATGAGCTTTATTGTCCTTTTCATCATGATTTTGTTTAATGTTTTTAAGTGTTTGCTCATCCTTGCCTGTTTGTAACAGGTTAATCTTCCCTCTTATTGAAATTATTTTTATACACTCTTTTAGATCCTGTAGACTTATGTTTACCTTCCAAAACAGAAAGTTCTTTAACCAAACTCTCTCCTTCAAGAGCTCTCAGAGGTCTGATGCTTTATTTATAAGGATCCCCCTTATTATTACCTTTCAGCATCCCAGAGAACATTTAATTGATAACCATCATTGTCATTTTCTTCTATATATTTCTGGAAATATTCCAGCTTTTTAATTCTAAACTGGGGTCATAGAACAAAGCTCTATTCAATCACCAGGCCTTTTTGTTTTTCCTCCTGAATGCCCTGTGTGTATATTCGATTGATCCAAAGTGGGATTAAACACCTTGTTAAAACCCCCTCTAGAATAATTGCTCTTTCCCAAAAATTGATTTAAAAAGAAAGAAAGCATATACATTGGCTAAATTGAGAAGTTTTACCATTCAAGGACCCCTTAATTAAAATACATCTGTTCTCTGTATCTATGCGCTGTGCTGAAACAATAAAAGGGAAGTGTTTAGCAAAAAGTATTGCCACCCGTCTTCTATTAGATTGTCCTGCAGAGACCTATAGTAACTGTGTCCAAGAAGTATTCAGGTATTTATAATTTTTCTTCATGTTTCCTGTAAATAGATTGTACTAGAAACATCTTTTTTCAGTGATCAGAATACCCTTTTCCTTTTTGTTTGATTGTCCGTCCACCTAACATTAAGTCATTATATTAATAAACTCACCCATGAATGCCAAGTCTGCACTCACCCATAAATTATAAATTCTGAGCCCTAACATTTATATTAATATCTTTTCTATTAAAACATATACAACAATACTTAACATCTATGTCTGTTCTCTTGTTCTCTCTTTTTTAATGTTGTTGTAAAAGGAATTAATTTAACACTCTGAATGTAAAAATATGTTTCCAGACTCTTCTGCGTTTATCATGCTTTCAAATGCAGAGCTGAAATCATTGGATCTTCTGCTTGAAGTAGAATGGTAGATCTTATTAACTGCGTTTGCAGTCTCTTAAATTCCTATATCTCTGTACAGTTGTAAGGTGCTGTCAAATGGATAAGGAGTCCTTGCCCTGAATAGCTTATATTCTAAGTGTAGCATGGACCCGTTGATATAGCACTGGACTGTGTGCTAGGAGACATAGGTTTTACTCCAAGCTCTGTCATGAACTTGCTGTGTGACTTTGGGCAAGCCACTTAACCACGCTGCTCTTAAGTTTCCTCATCTGTAAAAGGAGATAATAATAATGGGATAATAATGCTTACCTGTGCTTTGTGGATATTTTCACATCTATGGATGACACAAACTGAATGGCTGGTTGTTGATTTTAGTGGTGCAATAATAGATAGAGAGGGAAGCCCCACCAGAAAGAAATAACAGGATTTTGGTTTGTGTTTGTAATTGTTCAGTGCTTTTATAGAGTAAACATCTGATTTAAAGTTCTACAAATTATGGTATTTTCCCTTTGATAGCTCTCTGTGCTTAGAGAAGAATTGGAACTTGTATTTAATTTAAAAACAGAAAAAATATGGAAAAATTCTAGAATCAAAGTTTTGATTTCATTTATTCACTTGAATTTCCACTGGCCCTGACTATTGCAGTGCTATGCTAAATATACCCACAATCTCCAATAATATAACTCCTGTAGGCTTGATTTAACTCTCCGACGATAAGATGCAACAAAACCTGAAGCAGCATACTTAGGGGATGAAATAACATCAGTATTTTGAAGAATTATTGTTTCAGCTGCTTGTAAAAATTAAAACTAATAGGCCATTAACAATGTGAATTATCTAACAGCCTGGTGTTCAGAGGTGTGTGCGCAAACATGCTCTGTAATTAGGCATGTGTAATCTCTGCGTCACTGATGTCAATATCAAACTTAACTGCTATTTTAAAGCTTTGTTTTTAAGGCGTTTTCTTTGTCTTAAGGCTTGGAAAGTATTAATGAAAATCCAAATATTTTGTATTGGCTGCCTTTGAACTGTTAATTGACTGAAGCTATAGCTAAGCAACAGAGAATAACACTGAAGGAGGACTGCAGTTTTATAATGTTAACTCTGATGTAATGTTCTCCAGCAGCAAAAGTACATGTAAGAGCAGAATGCTGTGAAACCAGGTATTCTCATAGCACATTCTATCTCACGGGGGTTTAAACTAACCTTGAACTACTCCACTAAACTAAATTGGTTCCCGGGTTTTATAGGACTGCTTTCTCATAACTCTGAAAACATTACAAGGGTAGCCTTGTTAATTCAGGAAAGTGTTGTGTAACTTTAAATTGAATGAACAGATCATCAGTGATAAAATAACACAAATTTTCAGCCTGATGAACAATGAAATACAGTGGCGGTTAGTGGCAAATACTTTTTTCTACAAGCCAGATCCTCAGCTGGTGTAAATTAGCATTACTCCATAGACTTCAATGGACTGGTGCAAGTTTTCACCAGGATCTGGCCCTCTATGTGAGGAAAATCTTATTTTTGTTCACACTTATTAATTGTAAATTTTAAAATAACTTTTTAAAGTAATTAGATTAATTGCAACATGTTTTGTTCAGTTTTAGTCTTGCCAAAATTTATTTCCTCCTCTTCTGTTACATGGAGTTTTTCTTTTAAGTTTAATTTCTCGTCGTGGTTGCTTGAATTGGTTCTACTCTTACTTTTATTAAATAGTATCTCCTTGGCATGGCTCGTAAATTGACAGTTGAATAACTGTGTTAACAAGAGTGATGCTTTTGCTTTCTGTTCCTGCTTTCTGTGCTTTTCTTATTGTATCTGCAATAAATCAGTACTAAATTTAGTAAATAAGGTCTATTTTTAAAATGGGAGCCTGCATTTCTTTGTTTTGTTTTGCTTGGGAAGGCAAATATAAAAGTGTATTAACAGCACCTTTGTTTGTTACAGAATTACAGAAAATGTCAAAGAGGCAGACCTGATGCTAAGGAAACATAAGAGAATAAAAAAAAACCCCATGAATTAAACAATTAATAAACAGAGGGCATATTAGGAAGAAATATTAAATTCTTGCAGAGGTGGATAGCTAATCATGCTCATCAGGGAAACATATTTATGATTGGGAAGACACATTAAAAAAACTGCAAAAATTGAGTGTTTATGAAAATTTGCCCTGCTACAGTTTTAAGCATCTTAATGGTATGAAGTATTCTCTTCTAGGAGAGAGGCATATGTGTAATGGAGCCCCAAACAAAACCACTTGTTTAAAGAAATGTTACTTCCTGTACTGTATACCACAATCAAGGAAGTAAAGATACCATACTTTTAACTGTATTTATAAAATTACATTATATGAAATTTATCTCTGATCAAGGAAGTGGGAGAACTGCAGAGATATTTACTGATAATATTAAGATGTGGTACTGCAGAGATCTTCTCACAATCCACTGTTCTGCCAGATTCTGTTCTGCATCGCTACTTCCAATAAGATAGGAATTGTAGCTTTCTTCTAAATTGCTGGCAGAATATCTCTGTGGTGAGGCCAGCAGAGGATACTGTCTATATATGTTATGGTACTCTTTGTGCCTGTTGATCAATTTGTAAAGTAGATGGAATGCCTCCATAGGGTGTTAGGAAATTTAATGACTGTAGGCAAAGCACTTCACGATCACTTGACAAAAAATGCTATCTAAACGCAAAGCAGCCAGATTTTTCAAACTGAATTGCCTGAATTATCCAGATACATAAGGGTCCTGATTTTCATAGTTAAACATTCACAAGTCTTGCTGACTTTAGGCAGAAATATTCGTATTTAGCACCTCTGAAAATCAAACAGCTTACCTGGGATCATAAATATGGATTTAAGTGCCTAACTTTAGGCACCCAGTTCTAGATATATTGGCCAGTATTCTGCATAATATTAGAATTTCGTCTCTTCTCTTTTGTATATCCATCATGCAGTGGCCCTAGAAATGATCATTTTAATTAGTGGCCTCTTGTGGCGCTGCTCTGCTATTAGCCTATCTTGTTCTTTCACATTTATAGCAAATGGTCAGTTTCCACATAAAACTTCTTACCTTTTTTGGACCATTGAATCATATTCTCAGAGAATGAAAATGGAGAAAATCAAGTGACTTATTTTGCCATGACAAAGACCTTTCAAATGAGCCATTTCAGAAATTAAAGTCGAGTAAAAATATTTTGTAATTTTGGGTTTAAAAGATGAAATTGACTTTCTCTCAACTTAGTTTTATATGTCTAATGATGAGTTAGAGGTAAAGGAAGGTTTCTGTTAAATCATGTTTTAAAAGGCATTTGTTCTTACAGACTTGTTGAATGTTATGCAACTCTGGGATACCAATGAAATTTTACTGTAGGCACTGAGAACCTTTTAGCTAAAAAGTAATAAATACCCAGATGCTTGCACATAAGCCACCTTTCACAAATAAGGGATCAAGTCTTGTCCTGCGCAGAAAGTCAATAGAAGTATTGCTTGAGTATAGAGACTGTAAAATCAGGGTGAAATTCAATTCCTAACTGACTTTGCTTTAGCTGACATTTCTTTTTATTTCCTCTTGCTTTTTTTTCTAGTGCTCTACGGTATCAGGAAACTGGACAGCTCTCCATTAAATACCCAAGTGTCATATGTACTGAAGCATCTGATATTGCTTCCTTTACCAATTTGTCTCCTGGTCCAGAGGTAATGATGATACATTTATTACTTACAAGCAAAAACGTTCTATCTTAATTTATCAGCAATGAATCTCACCATCAGAATTCAGACCATCTTAAAAAGATGAAGCAGATGCAAGCCTTGCAGAGATAAAAGAGCAGGAGCGCACTGTACTAAGTTTTAACATAGTCAGAAGTATAAATGTAGCACATAATCCACTGCCCCGACCTCCATTTTCAAAATCTTTAGAGCTGAACACAAGACTTTTAATTAGAGAGATGAAAACCAGTTAATAAAATTACTGGAGTCTCCTTATGAAATCCTTAATGTCATTATCCTCTCTCATAATTTCATCAGAAGGCTTTTGGAGAAAGTGGCAGTCATTGTAGTAATTCAGCAAAAAAATCCTAATAAGCAGAGATGAACTAAATTAGCCATAAATAGCTTGATTAGCCAGTAAACAATCTTACCTAACCAGAGCAAGGTGGGTAATGAGATTCTCTGATTACATGCAAATAGTATTGTTCAGGTTACCTATTACTGTCCTCCTAGCATTCTCCTTTCTGTAAACCTTCTAATTAAACTGCAGATTTTCTTTCAGTAGTATTTTTATTTATAGTTAAATGTTTTAGATCAAGGGATTCTAATTGAAAAGTTGTCATCTAATTGATCCCTCCATTATTTGGATTGACATTTGCCTTTTATCTAACTCAGGGGTTCTCAACCTTTTTCTCTCTGAGGCCCCCCTCAACATGCTATACAAACTCCAGGGCCCAGCAGGGGTCGCAGAGGGGGACTCCAGGCTCTGGGACGGCAGGGGGAGCCTTGGGCATAGGCATAGTTTAACCTCTATTTGGCGGTGGGGGAAGGGCAGGCAGGGCTTGGGCCAGCTCCGCACAATGCAGTCCAGGAAGGGAGTGCTACCTCCACTCCCTGACACACCTCAGCAGGCCACCCAAGGGGGACACAACCAAAAAATAGAACTCAAAGGGGAGACTCGGTTCAAAAAGTCTGAAAACCACTCAGGGTGCAAGGAGGGGGGTAGCTGGGGCAGGGCATGGGCAGAGAGGTTGCTCAGTGTACAGGGAGGGGGTAGGTAGGGGCTGTGTGCTGGGAGGATTACCCCTGCGGTGGCTACGTCCTGAAAGCTCCACTGCCCTGGAGCCAGGTCCATGAGCAGTCACAGGGGCCTAGGAGCTGAGGAGCAGCCACACCCCCGGGCACCAGCAGCGGATGGGGGAATGCCACAACTGCTGGCTCCATGGCACCACCGGCCAGAGGAGCAGCTGCCCTGCACTGCCTGGCTCTGACTTCTGACCTATGACCTGGCCAGAGCGTGGGGCCTGAGAGGACCGGGGAAGAGGAGATGGGGGGAGATGCCCCCGGGACTGCCCCACTCTGGGTAAGGCACTGCAGTTTTTGGGGGCAACACTGGGGCTCAGGGCTTCAGCGCTGTACTGCTCACAGTATCAGCCTGAGGGGTGCAGCCTGAGGGGAGGATGCCGGGGCACCCTTACTGTTCCTAGCTTCAGCGGGAGTTGGGGGAGCACCGGGACTCCCAGCTTCAGACCAGGGGGGCACCAGGGTTCCTGGCTTCTGCTCCACACCACTGCCAGCTTCAGCCCTGGGGGGAGGACACACTAGGGCTCCCCTGCTGCACCCAGCTTCAGCCCTGGGGGGAGGACACACTAGGGCTCCCCTGCTGCACCCAGCTTCAGCCCTGGGGGGAGGACACACTAGGGCTTCCCTGCTGCACCCAGCTTCAGCCCTGGGGGGAGGTGCCAGGGCTCCCAGCTTTTGCCCCACGCCACTGCTAGGGCTTGGGGCACCAGGTTTCAGCCAGGGGGCCCTGCGGCTCCCCTGAAAGGTCTTGCGGACCCCCAGGGTGCCACAGACTCCCAGTTGAGAACCGCTGATCTCACTGATTTACCTGGGAAGGTTGGTGTATGTTTGCATGTGTACGCACATGTGCATAATGAGCTGTCTTTATGTTGTAGTATTAGTGTAATAGCAAGGATTAGGAGAATATTCTTCTAGAGTCTTAAACTGATTTATATTTTCCTGTGGATTATTTAAAGAAGATAAAGACTTATCTGAAGCCCGGGGGGCAGGGCTATGAGTATTTTAGTTCAGGCATTACATACAAGAGAGCATACGTTACTTGACTGCTGGTGAATACCTAGGGTGCACTATGGCAGAGTGTCTCCATCTGCCCAGGAAGTGCATCAGAAGACAAATAATGACCATCCTTATGCATCTGTGTTCTAAGTTATGCCTTAAAGGTGTACAACAGGCAGGAGCATTATGTGTAGTTTATTTTGAAAATACAGATGTGTAAGATGTTGCCTGTGCTCTTTCTGTACCATAAATTCTCTGTGGCATCTCTTTGGAGCCTAGGTGGCTGGCTCTCATTGGTAGGTAAACAGATAAGTAACCAGGGTGTCATGCCACTGGCTTTTGTATCTCAGGAAGGAGGACAGAGACCATGATCTGGCAGGGATGGTCAGCAGAACCTATACTTCCTCAAAATATTGAGAAATGCAGAAGAGGTATGAAGAGTGGTGTGAAATCCTACTCTAGATGGGAGGAGCTGCAGGAGAGGAGACTCCTGGACCCAGCTGTGTGAGGGGACAAAAAGGAGGCAGGTGTTGAAGTGTTGAAGCAGACGCAAAGAGAGAGATTGGAACATGTCCATGTTAGGCTTTTAATAAGCAAGGATGGGTATTTTGAACTGGAGCCTGAAATGAGTGGGGAGACAGTGGAACTACTTGAGGAAAGTGAGGAGATGAAATGGTGCTGCTTTGTACATGAAGACTAGGAAAGCATCAGCCGTCTCTGTGCTGGAATCGGGAGATCTGGGACTTGGGTAGGCCATGGATAATGGAGTTGCAGTAGTTATGGCAATGGCATGGATGAGGGTTTCAGCAGAGGTGGAGTAGAGACAGTGGCATACATAGGCATTGTGGTGGAGGTAGTGATTTGTCTCCTGATCGAGAGAAGTCAGTCATGCCTTCAAGTAAATGCAAATTACTTCAGCTGGAGTAAGAAACAACAGTTGTAACAAAGTGAACTAAGTTAGCACAGCGTTAGGGCCCTTATTCTAAACTGCAGCAAGTCCACTCCATTCCTACGTTCATTCTCCAACTCCAACTGCAGCTAACGACTTTTAAGATCTGGAACAATCTGTAAAAGGGGTGAGTAACTGGACAGTCAGTCACCACAAGTGATAAGACAGATTTTCAGGAGAAGGGAATTCAGAGTCAAGGATGTTTCCAGAGTTATAGACAACAAAGGTAAATGGGAGATATGAGTTGAGCAGGACAGGAAAGGAGATGGAACTGTGGTTGAGGATGCCCTTCTTGCCACAGAAAAGAACTACTGTCTTTGAGGTGGTTAGCTTATAGAATTAGAGTTTGGACCTTTTACATGCTGTTTGGTACAGCCTTTAGAAAATTCAGAAATAAGGCACACTGCACATAGAGGCTATTCTTCAGGGCTTGCGCTGGGCCTCTAATCCTCACCCAACAGAAAATGCTTGACAGGACTAGGAAATGGTGAAACATCTAAACTATGGAAAAATTACTGACTGGACACCTTCACTGGGGTACTTGTTGCACAAAGAAAAATTCATGACATAAAAGTAAACATGATCTGATGAGAACCCAGAAGTTTCAGTAGCAAATGGCTGTCAGTATCCTGGCCACAAGAAAACACTCCAACCAGTATCAAAGTGGATAGTAAGATGGAAAAAACACAGAACTCTCCTCTGCTCTCTTGCCTTGCTTTTCTTTGGTCTTCATTAAATAATGGGGAATTATATGGCTCCCTCCTACACAGGGTAAATTTATGAATTTAAGTGGCTGGGAACAGTGTTTCCTTGGGGTCTGCAAACTGTTCTTACATTTGAGATTTGCTGATCTTCACCTAACATTATTTTAGATTGTGGATGTGTCCAAAGGGTGCTAGACACTTTCCAGACCCGAGAAGAAGACACACAATTGCTGCCCTGAAAAGTTTACAATCTGGTGTGTTAGTTTATACATAGTTTCTAATTTTTCATCCTTATCAGATGTTAATATTATTGAAGAGTAATGGAAAGGGAAGAAAGGATAAGTAAACAGTCTGTTCGTTGTCATAGCAAACTTATTGTAGATAGTCCCTTTCCCAACAGTTAAGCAAACCATAAAGTGTTCCAGACCTTAGCATGAAAGGGCCGTTCATTGTTCACTAATTTATTCACAGCTATTTATTTTTGCAGCCACATGTTTTTCTGATGACTGTTGAGATAAGGAAAGGTAGAAGTCTGTGGACAGCTCTTTACTGGAAATATGTGAAGACTAAAAAAAAATGTCAAGTATTACAGTAAAAGTAGTAATCATGCAAGTAATACTATCACTTAATTCTGTGTGTGCCAGTTCTGATTTTTTTAAAAACTTTGCATAGATAAATTCCCCATATCTTGATAAGGCTTGAAAAATCCACTCATTCCCTTGCCATGCCTTTTCCAGAACTTGATTTGCATAACCATAAGGACCTTTTAGAAAATGAAAATAAGTTTCCAAATGTCATCTGAATACAACAGATGCAATGCTGTCCACAAGCAGCCCCAGTGCATCTACTGATGCTCATAGCTTTGTAAGCAGCAGCTGTGTAAAGATGAGAAGACATTGGTCAGTTTCACTTCTGCTATTTAGATTCTTGTGGGCAAAAGTGTCAGAACTGTCATGAATCATGTGGACCTCCCATTGCTTCTGGGAACAGCCCTGATAAGTTGCAAAGGCGGACACTGGTGATCATGGGCGGTAGGTATCAAAGGCGGAGAAGGCTAAGCCTACCCAACCGGCCTGCGTAGCCCTGCCCACACTCCACCCCCAGACTCCCTCCTGCTTCCCGCCATGCTCCGCTGTGGCTCTTCCTTCTCACATGGCTGGGGCCCTGGGCCAGTGGCACCAGAACTGGGGGCCTCTTCACCACCAAGGCTCCACCCCTGCCAGGCCAGCATGGAACCTGGCTGGGGAACCCGGGCAGCTGTGGGGAGCTGCAGCGGGACTCTCCACCTTCTCGGGATGTGTGGGGCGGGTGGGGCAGCCCCCAGCCTGTATCCCCATCTGCCAGGCTCCCCAGCTACCTGGAGCAGGAGGAGGGTCTGCGACACCACACCAGCTGCCCGTGCGGCTCTCCCTGACCCGGCTCGGGCCGTGGGGGCCCTCGGAGCCACAGCCCAGCCACTGGGAGAACCGTTTGGGGAGCTGGGGTCCCTTCACCTGCCCTGGGCAGGTGGCCTGGGACATGGGCAGGGGGCTGCTTTTGCCTCCACCTCGGGTGGGGGCCCCTGCCCCCCGACTTTTGGGAGGGCTCCAGCGCCCTTGCCCCAGTTTGGGCCTACTGGGAGCCAGTCTGCAGCCCGGGACTCTGAACAGCGGGAGCCGGGCGTTCCGGGGCTGGGGGCCATGCTGCCTGCCTGCCCGCCACGCTGGGAGCCGCACACAGCTGCCTGCCCACCCGCTGCTATGGGGCTCGGGCTGGGGGGCCGCGCTGTCTGCCCACCCACCAAGTGCTCTGTGGTTGTTGGGGGGGGGTCACTCGGGCAGCCTGGGGCTGTCAGGGATGGGGGGCTCTGGGCTCCGGTGGGGGAAGGGAGATGGCCAGGGGCAAGCCTCTCCAAACCTGCGATTCACCCCCCGCCCATGCTGGTGATGTTCTTGGGAGGTGAAGATACAAACAATGGAGGGCAGAGGAGCAGTGGAGAGCTTTCCACATTGCCTCTCACAGCAGCCCAGAGGGGATGGGGGCAGGATTCAAAAAGGATAAGACGTTTATATTAGTAATGAGAACCTGTGACAGTACATTAGCTAGGCTTTTAGAATGGGAGATAAAGCCTGAGCCGCAGTGTCTATCCAGCTATTTTTAGAGTGGTGGCCTGAGCCCTGCAGTCCCGTATCTGTCGACCTGGGCTCTGAGACTCACTGCTGCATGCTGTATCCTGCCACTGCCAGACAGGAATTCCCATACTAGACCCGACCAGTGGGCCTGTGCTCCTATGTACCTGCTGTGCTATAACTTGCGGAGATCACCATCGTGCTAAACAGTAGTGATAGTGGGCATACTGGGCAAAAGCTCAATGTAAAATTTAAATCAAGGTGACTCCTGGTTTCCATACTCCGTGAGTCTCTTGGAAAAACTTCTGAGAGGCTGTTAGAGGAGAGGCCTTCATCATTCTGAAAAGCCGCAGTGGCATGCTATATTGGCATTAGACTCCGCCCAAGTGACCTGGCAATCTATAGCTGGGATTAATTTACGAATCTGATTTGTTTTTTGTAGACCGTGCCAAAAAGGACTAAAGAAACTCTGTGTGAGAATATTCATCAGAACAAGGAAATAAGTGATACTGAAATGGCAGACTTTGGAGGTAAGACCTTTTTATAACACTTGATTTTAATTACAGAAGAATTACTAAAAAAGAAAAGGAGGACTTGTGGCAACTTAGAGACTAACAAATTTATTTGAGCATAAGCTTTCGTGAGCTACAGATCACTTCATCGGATGCATTCAGTGGAAAAATTACTGTGCAGCTTTTCCCTCTAAGGTCTAAATATTCATTTAACCTAATCTTAACCGGGACACATACTGACAACATAACTGATGTATGTATATACATAATGTATTCTTGTACTATCTCCTGATCACCACAGCAAATACTGTATTCCAGTGCTGCTTGACAGCTGAGCATTATAGTCATTGCTGAGGGACTTGCTAGCAACACTATAGTTAATTATCTTTCAGGGTTTGTGTGGGTTTTTTATAGAAAACCAAGTTTATAACGGCCATGATATTTGCTATGGGGTACCACCTTTCTTATAAGGCTTAGCCAAGAAGTATTTTTTCTTTGTAGAAAATCCAGTTTTGTAAGAATGTCAAAGTAAAGTGGATTGTTTTTAATGCATTTTTCATTCTTCTAACTTTAAATGGGGTTGGCTAATGTGGGGTAATCACTTTCGGTATTTTTAGGAGACATTTTGAGGCCCATAGTCAGCCCTGGTGTAACTGGGTTCAACTCTGTTGACTTCATTGGAGTTGCATAGATTTCCACCAGGGCTGAATTTATCTTGAACATCCTTACTAAGATAACTTTTTTAAAAGTAATTCCTATGCATGTATGATTTGTTCATTTTTTTTCGTAAATCAATTTTTAGTACAAATTTGCTATTGTTGGCTAAAGTCAATGTTTTCCAACAGATAAGTTACTGAAGCTATTTCTATTGTAAATATAAGAAATATTTTTAGGTGTATCATATAACACAGAGAGGTTAGAGTTGACAAATAGATTTTCATTGCTAAAATCGTCACTACACAGGGAAGGGATAGCTCAGTGGTTTGAGCATTGGCCTGCTAAACCCGGGGTTGTGAGTTCAATCCTTGAGGGGGCCATTTAGGGATCTGGGGCAAAAAAAATTGGGGATTGGTCCTTCTTTAAGCAGGGGGTTGGACTAGATGACCTCCTGAGGACCCTTCCAACCCTGATATTCTATGATTCTATGATTCTACTTGCTCTGTTGCAACTGTAACAGTGAGATTTATGAGTGTGTAACAAAACTAGTATCCAAAAATCTGCATTTTAGCATTCTGTATAAAAATAATTCCACAATGGTATACTTTGTCACAAATGACATTTTTTGGTTCTGAAAATTAAAACTTTATATTTTACCATAATTCTTGAAAATCTATCAACTATCACAAGTCAGTTTCACCATTATTGCTTTACTCTGATTCACTGTACTTAAAACAGAACAACTTTTTTCAAAAACATAACATAGACAGTCGAGAAATAAACATTACATTAGACACACAGACTTTAAGGCCAGAAGGGAACATCATGATTATCTAGTCTGACCTCTTTCACATTGCAGGTCACAGAACCTCACCTATCCACTCCTGTAATCGACCCATAACCTCTGGCTGAGTTACTGAAGTCCTCAAATCATGATTTGAAGACTTCAAGTTACAGAGGATCCACCATTTACTCTAGTTCAAACCTGCAAGAGACCCAGGCCCCATTCTGCAGAGAAAGGTGAAAACCTCGCATGGTCTCTGCCAATCTGACTTGAGGGAAAATTTCTTCTCGACCCCAAATATGGCAATCAGTTAGACCCTGAGCATGTCAGCAAGATCCACCAGCCAGACACTTGGGAAAGAATTCACTGAACAGTATTAACTCGGAGCTCTCTCCATTGAGGGCCCCATCTCCAGCCAATGAAGATATTTGCTGCTAGCAGTTGCAGATGGGTCACATACCATTGTATGCAACCTCCTCATACTATCCCCTCCATAAACTTATTAAGCTCAGTCTTGAAACCAATTAGGAGTTTTTTTGCCCCCACTTCTCCCCTTGGAAGGCTGTTCCTGAATTTCACTTCTCTGATGGTTGGAAACCATCATCTAATTTCAAGTCTAAACTTGTTGATGGCCAGTTTATCTGCATTTTCTTTTGTGCCAACGTGGACCCTTAACTTAAATAACTCCCTGCTATTGATCCCTCTGATGTATTTATAGAAAGCAATCATCTCTCCTCTCATCCTTCATTTAGGTAAGGTAAACAAGCCAAGCTCCTTGAGTCTCCTTTCATAAGACAGGTTTTCCATTCCTCGGATCGTCCTAGTAGCCCTTCTCTGTACCTGTTCCAGTTTGAATTCATCCTTCTTAAACATGGGAGACCAGAATTGCACACAGTATTCCAGATGAGGTCTCACCGGTGGTACTAACACTTCTCTGTCTCTACTAGAAATACCTCACCTGATGCACGCTATGATTGCTTTATCCTTTTTCATGGCTGCATCACACTGGCGGCTCATAGTCATCCTGTGATTGCCCAATACACTTCCAACTGATAAGTCCCCAACTTCAAATTCTTGTTGTTAGTCCCTAAATGCATGACCTTGCACTTTGCACTATTTAATTTCATCCCATTTCTATTACTCCAGTTTTCAAGGTTGTCCAGGTCTTTTTACATTTTCCAGTCCTCCTCCTTGTTGGTAATACCTCCCAACTTTGTGTTATCTGCAAATTTTATTAGCATACTCTCACTTTTTGTACCAAGGTCAGTAATAAAACTGTTTTAAATAAGATTGGTTCCAATATGGATCCCTGAGGGACTCCAATAGTAACCTCCAGCCTGACACTTCACCTTTCAGTATGATCTGTTGTAGTGTCCCATTTAACAAGTTCCTTATCCACCTTTCAATTCTCATATTCATCCCCATCTTCTCCAATTTAACTAATAATTTCCCATGTGGAACTGTATCAAATGCCTTCCTGAAATCCAGGTAGATTAGATCTACTGCATTTCCTTTGTCTAAAAAATCAGTTATCTTTTCAAAGAAAGACTCATAGACTTTAAGGTCAGAAGGGACCATTATGATCATCTAGTCTGACCACCTACACAGCGCAGGCCACAGAATCTCACCCACTTTCCTGTAACAAACCCTTGACCTATGTCTGAGCTATTGAAGTCCTCAACTCGTGGTTTAAAGACTTCAAGGTGCAGAGTATCCTCCTGCAGTGACCCATGCCCCACGCCGCAGAGGAAGGCGAAACCCCCAGGGCCTCTGCCAATCTGCCCTGGAGGAAAATTCTTTCCTGACCCCAGATATGGCGATCAGCTAAACCCTGAGCATGTGGGCAAGACTCACAAGCTAGACACCCAGGAAAGAATTCTCTGTAGTAATACAGATCCCACCCTATCTAGCATCCCATCACAGGCCGTTGGGCATATTTAGCGCTAATAGTCAAAGAGATCAGGTTGGTCTGACACAATCCACCTTTTGTAAAACCGTTTTGTATTTTATCCCAATTACCGTTTACCTCTTTGTCCTTAACTACTTTCTCTTTCAAAATTTGTTCTAAGACCTTGCATACAATTGAGGTCAAACTAACAGGCCTATAGTTTCCTGGATCACATTTTTCCCCCTTTCTTAAAAATAAGTACTGTATTAGCAATTCTCCCGCCATTGGGTACAACCCCTGAATTTACAAATTCGTTAAAAATCCTTGCTATTGGGTTTGCAACTTCATGAGCCAGTTTCTTTAATATTCTTGGATGGAGATTATCTGCCCCTTTCCTGCCCCCCTGCCCCCGATTGCTCCCATTAAGCTGTTTGAGAATGACTTCAACCTTGGATGTGGTAGTAACTTCTACTTCCACATCCTCATTTCCATTAGCCACCCTGCCACTACCCCATAGCTCTTCATTACCTACTGGTTTTAATTTCAGTTCCAAGGTCCAACTCTGCTTGGCTTTTGGCAGTTCTCACTTTAACCCTATGCTTTTATGACCTTCAAGAGAGAGCTTTCCTAATTGAGCCATCCCATCTTCCATTCCTTGCAGGCTTTCTGCTTCCTCTTAATCACCTGTTTGAGATGCTTGTTCATCCTCTTTGGTCTGCAACCTTTCCTATGAATTTTTTTCCCCTTTGCTTGGGATGCAGACTTCAGATAGCTTCTGCAACTTTGACTTCCAAGCCTCCTCCACATTCAGATCCTTTCCACTTCCCTTATTACTTTGCTTAATTTTTTTAAGTTTGCCCTTTTGAAATCAAGGACCTTAATTGCTGACCTATTTTTGTTTCTTTCTATTTAGTTTAAACTGAATTACTCATGATCACTTGAACCAAGATTGTTCTGTACATCCAGTTCTTCTATGAGGACCTTGCAATTTACGTATATTAAATCTAAAATGTTGATTTGATGAAGAAATCTGTAAGCTATCAACTCCAGGAATATCTAGGCCCTACCATTATTAGTAGAACTTGTCCTTCAATCTATATCTGGGAAGTTAAAGTCATCCATAATCACGCCAATTCACCGTAGTATTTATTTCATTAAAGGTCACTATTCATATCCCAGATTGGATCCTGGGGGTCTGTAGCATGCTCCAAACACTGTCACAGTGGAGCCTGTGTTAGCTTTCTTTCCCAAAGTGATTTTGACACAAGCAGATGCCACTTTATCCGTTCCATCACTGTCAATTTCTTTACAGTCTACCTTGTCATTAATGTACAGTGCTGCTGCTCCACCATTACCTTTATTTCTGCCTTTTCTGCACGGCACATTCCTATCCATAACTGTACTCCAGTCATGACTACTATTCCACCGTGTTTCTGTTAGTCCTATAATATCTGGTTTTAAGCACCAGTAGTCTAGTTCCTCCATTTTGTTACCCAGGCTCCCTGTATTGGTGTACAGACATCTTCGCTGTTTGTACTAGGCTTCACCCAGATTCCTCGCCCAATTAGGTACAGTCATTCTCCTGCCAGTATCGCCTACCTGACAGTGCCAATACCACTGACAGTAACAATCTTTTCCTCTTGATGTCCATTCTTCTACCCTCTGTCGTTCCTTCCTCCATTGCTGGGTCCTCTCTTTAATTTTCCTCCTGCTCCACGTTAGAATCGGGCGTGGAGATTACGTGAGCATCTCCTAGCAGTCTCCCCCGAGATCCTAATTTAAAGCTCTTTTAATCAGTTGTGCCAACCTCCATCCCAGCAGTCTATTTCCCACTCTGCTCTGGTGGAGTCCATCCCATGAGAACTGTCCTCTGTTGGTGAATGCCTCCCAGTGGTTGAACATCCCAAAGCCCTCCTTATGGCACCACTTCCTTGAGCCAACTGTTAATCATCATCATCTTGTCTCTCCTTCATTCTCCTCCTCTATGGACAGGTAGAATCCCACTGAAGATCACCTGAGCCTCTGTTTCTCCGTGTCTTCCCCAGCTTGGCATAGTCTCCATTGATGTGTTCCAGTGAGAATCTGGCTATGTCATTTGTCCCCTTGTAAAGGATAATCAGTGGATTCTTTCCTGCTCCAATTAGGCTCCTCTTCAGCCTCATGTACACATCCCATATCTTAACTCCCAGTAGACAGCACACCCTTCTGTTCTTCAGATCAGCTCTGGTGACGGTCCTGTCTGTTCTTCTTGATAGGGAGTCCCCAGTCATGTAGATCTGACTCTTCCTGGTGCAGCTCTCTGGCCTTCCTCTTTCTGTTCTTTCCGGCTGCAAGACCCCTTGTCTTTTGTTCTCACATGCCATCTTCTGCAACTCATCCTCTGTCCTTCTGGGCCTATGAACTCTGGCTGTCTCCATTGACTCTTCCCCTCTTCTTTTAGGACTAGCCGCTTTTCTCTTCTTTCTTGCCCTTCCACCTTCTGTTACCGCCTGCTGCGCCCCTTCTTAATATTCCAACTCAGTAAACCTATCCCTGTGCTCTATTTCTCCTTCACTATCCTGTCTTTTTTCCTCTGCCTGATACTTTTATCACATGCTTCCACTGGCCACTTTCCTCATCCAGCAATCCACCCTCAAAGTTCCCCCATCCAGCTTGCATCTGCAAGTTCTGAAGTTTCTGTTCAGCCTCCACTTGCCTTCCCTCCATCATCTGCTCAAGTCCCCTTCAAAACTCAGCCATAGTTTCTGCCTGGATCCGAGCCTCCAGTCTTCTCTTCCATCAGATCTATCAGGCGGCACTGGACACCAAACAAAGCACCTTTCAGGTACCCACTCCAGGATAATGTACATCCCTCAGCTTCCACACCCAGTTATCCACATTGTTTCTTCCATTCCTTGGGTCACTACCACTCCTGCCTCTGTAGCCTGTCATAGCCTTCCCGCCTAAGCTCCTGGCGAGAGATAGAGAGAGAAAAACACACACACACACACACACACACACACACGCTCCCCTCTTCCCCCCTTCCCCAATTCCTACAAATTCCTATTCAAACTCCCCTGTTTCCAGCTGTTTGTTGGCTCCTTGCATATGATTAGACCGGTGATACTCAGCCCAAAGTGGTTCAGAAGCCAAATTAGCAATCAGCATTACCCAAAAGAGCCTCAGTAGTATGAATTCATTGTTTCATTTACTAGAGTACTATTCATACTTAAACAGTATGACAGGGGAAATACTTAGGGTGTACATATATATATTCTTACAGCAAATATGTTGTTAACTGAGTGCAAATTGCTAACTTAATTGGTTAATAACATAGTAAAAGCATCCTGATTGGTTAATAACTTTGGTTAATAATTAAGTCACACAGTGTTTTACTATCATGTGCTGCAAAGAGCTGCAGAAGACACATTAACGCACCCCTTGCAGTTCACGAGCCGCGGTCTGAGTATCACTGGATTGGGCTACCTTAAATTGAAATGCTATTATATTTTTCTTTAAACACTTCAACTAAAACAGAACAAAAATATTCACTTGTGACTCTGTATTTTCTTCTGCTTTTAAAGTCAGTAAAAAGTAAATCACTGCTATATGATGTTCAAGGCCTGAATCTCACTTTTGAAAGCTAGCCCACAGAGCACTTTCAAAATTCATTTTCACTTTGCTTCCGAGCAGACTTACAGTCTAACTGCAACCAGTCGTTAGAGGAATCTCACTGGGGAAGTCTTGGCTCCATGAAGCAGATCCCATCTCCGCGAAATCTCCATGAGGAATCCACAAGGAACAGCACTCTTCTAGTGTGTTCTGTGAATGCAAACACTTTGGCCGTCTCCGATCAGGTACTGAGTCCCCCTGAAAGTGGAAGGCCAGATGCTTCTATAGAGGAATCTGCCAATCATTGCAAAAGGACAGCACTGGCAAAAGAAGGCATTGAAATGGCACAAAGTGAAACTGCCGCTTTTTCTTCACCAAAACAAAATGACTCCTCAGAGCCAATTTCAACGCACAGTTCCCTTGCAGTCTGATGCATCACATCTTCTATTCTGAGAAACAGCAGTACTGTGAAATACTGAAAGGCAGACTTCTCAGAGACCAATTCACGATACTAATATAAAGACTTGAGCAACTGGAACCTTTTTCATATTGGGAAGTAGCCAGAAGTACACATCTAGAAAGGCAGACGAGATGGCCTTCAGGAAAGCAGATATCCTGGTTACAATTGGCTTGTGAGAGATGAACAATTTTGATACAGACTATCTTCTGGGGAATGGCTGAATTCCCGATTTTATGCTAGCTGTTTGAGGGGTATTGAAAGAAGAGGCAGAAGGGGGTGTAGCCACTTTGAGGGCCAAGGTGGAATAACTACCTATGATAATTTTTATCCAGCTCTGCCTCCCCTTGTTCAGAGTCACCCTGTCTTCCTGCCTGCACTCTTCACATGAGTAATCATCTCCTACTGCCTGGCCCTACCCCATCATCCGCCCTGTCACAACAGCAGATGGGTGGCTGTAGAGACTGAGAGAGGACTTTGGCATGGAGATCATAGCAGCTCTTGCTGAAGAAGTAGCCAATAGGCAATAGCAGCTGGACAGTGAGAATGAGCTTATTCACCTGCTGAGGCAGGGGCGGGCAAACTTTTTGGCCTGAGGGCCACATCAGGTTTTGGAAATTGTATGGAGGGCCAGTTAGGGGAGGCTATGCCCTCACCCCCTATCTGCCCCCCCCCCTTGCTTCTCACTCCCTGATGGCCCGGGACTCCTGCCCTATCCAATCCCCCCTGTTCCCTGACAGCCCCCCAGGGCCCCTGCCCCATCCACACCCCCCCTGCTCCCTGCCCCCTTACCACACAGTACAGAGCACCAGTGGCTGGTGACGCAACAACCGCACCGCCCAGAGTGTTGCCCGGCTGCCCAGAGCGTTGCGCCAGTGTAGTGTAGTAAATTGCTCTCCGTAACTGCTACCAGTAGCACATTCCTACGCGGAGCAGTTTAATACACTACACCTGCAGCATGGCACGCTGAGGCTGCAGGGGAGGGGCCGGGGGTGAGCCTCCTGGGCCAGAAGCTCAGAGGCTGGGCAGGAGGGTCCCGCGGGCCGGATGTGGCCCGCAGGCCGTAGTTTGCCCACCTCTGTGCTGAGGAGAGGCTAGTTGAAGGGGCAAGGACCATTTTGAAGAGGACGTGAGAGAGGGCACTAGACCAAAGAGTGGGATGGGTTTGGAGGGATCAGATGGGCAAGACAGCCAGGATGAATAATCAGCCTTTGCATAACATGACAGGTCTCCGAGATATCACAAGTCTGTTTTCAATATGCACATTTCAAACTGCTTTAAAGAAAATAACTTGTTTCTCAAAACTACAGCTACAAATTGCCAAAATTCCAGTTAGAAACGTTTGCCTTAGGTAGCCGCTTTTCCCAAACCCAGTTTTTGGAAGAAAATGGATGAAGTTCTCTGTACTTGTATTTTGAACTATTTCTCATTTTCTCAAATGGCTTGTTTTATGTCTACAAAAAAGTGATTTTTTTCCTAATTTGTTTTTGATATTGAAACATTTTAATGAACTCTCAATTAGTGTGGTGGTCTCTAAATTACAGTTTTCCTTTTTAAGATCAATCTTCATTTTGAAAATGTACATCTACCTATATTTTTCACAGGGAAAGGGGCATATTTGAAATTCACTATATATGGGCAAAATATATTTTATTTATACAGCGGAGTTTTGCTGATTATTTAATTTTTATTATTTGTGTGAGTTGAAGTGAATTGTTCTAAAGGAATATGGTCATCCAATAAATTCAGGTTTTTTCATAGGAATTGTAAAAATGTTTTAAAAGTTCAAACTTTATTTTATTAAACAACGTTCTTGTTGCACACATAGGGGGCAATAACATTTTTAAATGTTGTTGGTAATATCTAAAATACTAGACACATCTGCCACAAGCACACTCGCTGCAACCCAGCTATAACCAAACTGTTTCCTGACTGTTCTACGTCCATTTGACTTAATAGAAAGAGCAAAGGCCTGGGATTCAGGAGACCTGGGCTCTGTTTCCGGTTATGTCAGTGGCCCACTTGGTGACCTTGGACAAGTCACTTCCTTCCTCTGTGCCTTAGTTTTCCCCTCTGTCAAATGGGGATAATGATGCTGACCTCTGTAGTAAAGTGCTTTGAGATCTACTGATGAAAAGTACCCTTATAAGAGCTAGGCATTATTATTAGTTTTGAGGACACTTTTTTGTTTTCTTTTTTTTAAGACAAACACAGAGTGAACAACTAATGGAGTTGTAGAGTCACAGATGGGTTAATTTCATTCTAATGTTGTTCTATGTTTTCTCATTTAATATTTTATTATGTACTTTGGGGGATATTTGCTTCCTGATTTCAGAAGAATGCATAAAAACAGGAAATGACCACTGATCAGGCATCTATGCCCTCTAACGACTTCCTGCACTCCTTTTCAGATCTAGTTTAAAAAAATGCTCCTGTCAACTCAAATCCCTGCACAGACACTGGAATAAAGAGGGACATTTTCTGGCAAGTATTTTGTTCTCCTAAGATACCAAACTAGATGGTCTGAAGCTGCACTGGCTTTCAATTCATTTCCAGCTGCAGCTCAGTGGGTTGGCTTAGTTTAATCCTGTATGGTTTGAGTTTGATTATCTGTGTCCCTGTGCTCCATCCTGATAGTTAAGATCAGCTGATTGACAGTATTATTATTATTTTTTCTACTACAGGAACATAATCAGGATCAGGGCCACATTGTGATATAAGGTTTGTACGTCTAGGGCTGGTGAGGGCATATTCTTAAAAGAATACACCCCCCCCCCCCCATTTGTAATATTGTGAATTCCAACCATTCAAAAACCATGAAACAGATGCCAAAAAATCATGATATTTTAAAAATATTACATTTTGCATTCCATTTATTTGCCTTCAGGTTCTTGAGCTTTTAGGTTTCACATTTTCAAGCTTTTCTCTGCAATCAGGAGGGCTAGAAACAAACTTCTAAAATGGAAGCTGAGATTCTCACATACTCATATGTCTCCAGGAGCTCATGGTTTCAAAATAACTCATTTAACGAACAACAAGAAATAACTTATAAATGCAATAGTACTGCTATAATCTATCTAGCCATATTGTCTCTCTTAGTCTTTGCAACTGGTCTCTGTCTATGTGTAAGATAGTCAGTCTGTAAGAGCCAATAGGAAGTTTGGCATTCCACAGGTATGTCTTCACTGCAGAGTTAACTTGGGCTCTTACGCTGATATTGCCACTATCTCCCTTCCATCCATACACAAACAGTCTCCCCAGAGTATGGTGATGTCTTAAACTCACACTGGCCCATCTGGGGATGTGGTTTAGAGCCTGGATTCAGCTTTCACTAGTAACCTGCCCACTTGGCATTGAGGATGTGGGCTAACTCCTTTAGTGCCGATAATCCTTCAATGCCTACCTATAAGTCTGCCTGTGTGCCCAGAAGGACACAAGAGTTCTTCCACAATTCACTGAGAGAGAATGAGAGTGGCTCAATTTACTGCAGCACAAAGAACCATGGGATATGGCCCCAGAAGTCCTGAATGCAGCCCCAGTGAGGACTCCGTAACTCAGATATGGCTTTGCACTGTAGCTGCTCTCACTCAGGTTAGGCTGATCCAGATGCTCAGACCCAGGTGTCAAGCACCCAAGTTAACTCTGCAGTGAAGCCATACCTGTAGCATCCTGCATGGTGTGTGTCAGGGTTAAACTTCCTGATGAAACGTCACCCTTTGTAGCACGCAGGCCCACTGCAATGCCTGTTCACTCAGTCTTTGGCCTGAGGAGGTGGATTCAGGTGAGTTGTTTCTGGGATGGTGTCTTCAGGTTTTTTTGTTAGTCTATCCACGATTTGTGAGTGTATGTTGTAGTTGTGCCTGGCAGTATGATCAGGTATATATTATGAACAGAAAAGTATTTTCAACACTTTAGGGGGAGAATACACGTCAAGTTAATAATATAATAGCTTTTCTTTCACATCAGCTGCATGGAAAACAGTTTTGATACATAGACAAATGTGCTCAATGCAGAGGTAACTAGATGAAATATAATGGCCTCTGATATACAGGGGGTCAGAGTGGATGATGTAATGGTCCCTTCTGGCCTTAAAAATCTATTAATCTAAAGCTAACAACAGGGAAGCTATTGGAGTGATCCCCTGCTCCAATCGTTCATGCAGTATCAGTTTGAGAAGATCACCTAGTTGGAAACACCTGGTGAGCTCATGGCAGCTTTGTCATTGTGCCACAGTGAAAAAGCAGTGCGTATTTATAATACAAGTAGAAATCTTAACTTGCTGTTAGGTTTTTCTGTTGCTATCATGATTCTGGAAAAACTGCAGTAACTTCCTGCAATGGAAACAACCCCTGACACACAACAAAGCAAAAGCGCTGTACACCTGCTCAGCAATCCAGGCTCTCTGGATCCATTCAATTTTTCATTTTTATTAAATGAATAGAAAAATCTTCTGTTTTGCGGCAACCTAATAAACCCTAATTTTGTGTAAGGCTGCCACTGCAGGAAAAATATTTGAATCTCTCTCTCCTTCCAACAATTACTTTCAACTTACAAATCCGTGATTCTTAGCAGGCAGCAAATTGATCTATGTCAGCAAAATCTTTCTGTCCATCAAGTTGGAAATGCAAGCACATGGGCCAATTCCACTTTTGTTAATGGGCCACTTTTCTTAATGAGAACAAATGCAGTGATAGAATCTTGGGTAATGTTTTCTCCCATCACAGATATAAATCAGTGACCCAGGGTTCCGCCTCTTCTTGAGAGATGGTATGGGATTGTGGATACCTGGGAGATGTTCTCCCTGGTTTCTATAAGAGCTGCAGCTGTGGGGGCTTTCCCAATCATTTTGATCACTATGGCCCTGATTCTGGAAAACATCCCCACTCAGGATTGTACTTAATCAATGCTTAAATTAAGTCACCTTGAAGACTAAGGGAATTTATCAAGTGCTGAAAGTTAAGTGTGTGCTTTCTTGAATCAGGGCCTTTATGGGACTGGAACCAGGTGGTCACAGAGAATTCCCATATGTCAGCTCTATCAGATGGAGGGAAATTAAACTTAGCAGCAGATTGAACCTAGATCTACTAGTATTCCTTTAAATGTAAAGCAGATTCATTTTTAGAAGGATAGCATTACATGATAAACAGATAGGTCTACAGTTGAATGAAATGCGTTAAAACCAAAAGCACAAAATGTAATACACAATACACAACTGTGATCAAAACCATTTGAAATTGTGCGCATATACTAATATGTTCGTGTGTCCATAAACATATGCATTCACTAAGGGATTTTTATACTACACTAGTCTCGGTAACAATAAAATTACTCTGGTACACGAATAAATATTCAACTTCACTTTTACTAGACCATATAAGACTTTTTTTTTAAATAAATAAAAGTGATTTAGACAGCAGTGGGATAAAATGAGAGGGTGGGTGGAGAGGTCATTGCAATAACTACTCTTGGGGATTTTCCAAAACCATATATTCAGAATAAATTGTGTTCATTTAAAAAAGTAATAAATGACATGATCTAGCTATGTGATTCTAACAAGAAATCAAATTCTTTTAAATCCTTGGAGTCGTTTCATTGTATCGTACACTGAAGACAGAGCTTTAAGAGTGATGAACTTTTGTTTGTTCTTTAATTTGCTTGTTTGCTGCTGGTAATCCATTGTTGAAGGCATATTTC